ATCAACTAATCGGTTTTCATTCTGCTTTATAAGTTGATCTTGTTGGTTTTGTTTTTGTATTTCATGTTTCTTTTTTGCCCCTTGTATATCATCTAATTGGTTTCCATACTTGTCTTTGACTTGATAAGTCATCACGTTAGAGTCAGATGCCACTTCTCTCAAATTTGTAGATAATCCAGCTGGGGTATCCAAAAGATCCAAAGGCAATTTATCTAGTGCAGTCTCTGTAGTTCGATATTTTCCCTTTATTTCCAACTTCTTCTGCTTATCCTGTATTATGCTTAAAGATGTTAAGTTCATTTTCAAAATGTTTTGATAAAATTCTTCCGCTCTTTCAACAGTATTTAGCTGGTATCTTTCTCCTTGATATCTCAGTATAATACCAACTGGGGCGTCCCATCTAAATGGGATATTTCTCTTTTTTAACTCAGCCACCAGAAAACCAAATTTCTTCCTTTCCGTTAATATCTTGGGTGGGAGTTCTTTGTAAATCCAAATCTTTCTTCCATACAATTGCAAATTAGAATTGAAGGAATTTTGCACAATGTTATTCCTAATTTTTTTATCTGTAAAATAAATCACCACATCTCTAGGCAATTGCCTTTGCTTTGCAATCCAGGAGTTTATTCTGTAAACTCTGTCAATCCTAGAAAACACTTCCTCAGGTTGAACCTTTAAAATCCCAGCTAGAATTTCAGAAGATATTTTCCTTAAATCATCTCTGTTATTTTCCTGCAAACCTCTCAGTCTTATCGCATATTCAGTGAAATTATATTGTACCATTAAAACCTCTCTTTCAATCCTCTGTTGCAGATTTTCTACATTGCCAGTCTTTTGATCAACCTCCATTTTAGGTTTTTCTTCTGAGCTATTATCTTGAGTATTTATCAAATCATTTTCAATTTTTTGAATTCTATTGTCCAAATTATCTTGAGTTTCTTCCATTTTAGACTCTAATAACTTAGTATTTGTATCCAACTGTATCATAAATTCTGAGAAGCCATTAGCCATTTTTAAAATTTTTTGCTCCAAAAAATCAAACTTAGATTTCACCAGTTCTTTAATTTCCTGCTTAAATTTTTCAAGATGCTGATTCACAATCTCATCCCTTCTTTCAATCTCCTCTAAAAGAAATTCTATTATATTAAAATCAGGTTTCTGAGACTGGAGACTTAAAACTTGTTCCTTTAAGTTGTTAGTGGGGGAATCCCCCCCCACTACTTGTTTGTCTGACTTTATAAGTCTCAGTGCCATGTTTCCGCCCAGGCAAGCTTTGTTAAAAAAAAGAAAAAAGACTTCTTTCCAACCAAAAGCAGTATCAGATCTCCAAGAGAAAAAAGAGAGAAAAAAAACACAGGAGCGAAGTTTTGTCTACAATTGTAGCCAATGGTATTTGTTCCGCTACATTGTAATCATAGAAAACGGAAGGACTTTCCCTTTCAGCCTCTTCTCAAGCCGCGGCAGACGCCATTTTAAAAGTTTTTTCCTTTCCTTTTTTTCTCTTAAATAATTTTTAAAAAATAAGTAAAATACTTGCGATTCACTATCACAGGTCCAGCTCACATTTTCTTTAATTGATCTGTTAAATTCGCAGGCTTGCTCTTGTCGCCTGGCTCTGCATGTAGCAGAGGTCTCCCAAAGCCCGGAGCAGCGGCTGGGGATATGGGGAATCTCATCCGCTCCGTCCCAAAAGTAAAAAAAAACTTTTGGGACTATGCAGAGAGTTCTACCCACCCCAGCCGGCTCTATCTCCGTTTCCTCATGGAAACGGAGTTTTTTCGAGCCGCCATTCCGTTGTGAAGGCGGCTCTAAACAGGCAATGGAAGCTGACGATCCCAAGGGAACATCTGGCGGCGACCAGCAGCAAACCGGAAGTCGAATAATCTTACTTTTCTTACAAGAAATAAGCAAAAGGTATCATTGAGTCAAATGAATTGGATAGCCAGCAGATTTCAAACCAAATCTAAACCTTTATGGTCAATGCACAACATCTGTACAATGAAATTGAATTTTGAACATCTTTCAAAGTTAAACTAACCAGGGTGAGGGGTAGAGTTTGACAGTGCCATCTTGTGACTGAGTAGCATAAAACATTGATGAAATGGAGATCAGTCATTCATCCCAATCCCCTTGAGAGAGAAATCAATCTCACAGGAGATAAACAAAATCAAGCTAATCTAGCATTTTACTAGATGCCATTGCTTGCACTGTACAGTATAGACCACAAGGTGGCAGTGGTCTGCTAAAAGTTGAAAAGTTTTCTGCCCAAAGTATTACTGATCCCTCTGAAAGAATTATAACTATTACAGGTTACACAATAGACTCTTTTTTAAAAAATACACCAGGCACCAGTGGTGGGTTTCAAAATTATTTATTACCGGTTCTGTGGGTGTGGCTTGGTGGGCATGGCATGGCTTGGTGGGCGTGGCAGAGGAAGAATACTGTAAAATCTCCATTCCCTCCCCACTCCAGCGGAAGGTTACTGCAAAATCCCCATTTCCTACCAATCAGCTGGGACTTGGGAGGCAGAGAATAGATGGGGGCGGGGCCAGTCAGAATTTTTACTACCGGTTCTCCGAACTACTCAGAATTTTCGCTACCGTTTCTCCAGAACTGGTCAGAACCTGCTGAAACCCACCTCTGCCAGGCACCCATAATATTGTACCGTCCATTGAGAATGGACTGGGATGATCTGAATCTGTGTGAGACAAGGAGCCGTTTCTTACTCATAGAAGTGTGCATTGTGAGTCTAAGCCTTTGTGTGTATAATGAAGAAGAATTATTCATGTGGTGTCTTGTTTCTTTTGCTGGAAGAGAACTATTGAGCTGTAGGCACCACAGGAGGAGCACCAGGTTAGTTTTATGCAGGAGAAAAATATTAGGGCTCAGACAGCTGTTTTTCGCAACCTATAAATGATATTAGGCCACACTGCAATGCTTAACATAAATAAGGTCTGGAAAAGCAGGGATATTGATATACAGTAAATAAGTGAATCGGGCTAGTTGGAGCAATACTTCCTTTCACGGGTGTGAAAGTTGGGACGTTAGGAATGGCCGATCAAAGAAGAATTGGTGCTGGCGTAAATTATTGCACATACCCTGGACAGCTGGAGTAACCAACAGAGAAGTGTTCAATTGAATAAAACCAGACACATCGCCAGAAGCTAGAAGCACAAAGCTGAATCTGGTTTACTTCGGCCATGTCATGAGCTCAAACTCACTGGAGAAGTTCATTGTCCATTGTCCTTCTCATCCTCCTCAGCCACTTCCAGACCGCCTCTCTCTCTTTCTCTCTCTCTCTCTCTCTCTCCCCCTCCCTCCTCCTTCCCTCCCTCTTTCTCTCTCTCTCTCTCTCTGACAGCTCCATTCCCTCTTCCCCACCAGGCTCTTCTGTTGTGTTGAATGCCAGGTTTCCAGAAATTCTCCATCGTTTTTTAGACTTAGCTTGGTTCGGGATGCTCAGAGTTTCCCTGCTGAAACTACGGCTAAGGCTGTCCATGGGTTGGGCAATTAAAGAGTCTTTGGACTGCTAGTTAGTATTCATGGATGCACTCTGCTTGTCTTCTGTTGGCTCGGGGCTTCTGGGAGTTGAAGTCCCCACATGTTAAAATTGCCAACCTTGAGAAAGATGGTTATATCACAAGATAAAATAATATCGAAAGTAATGGAATGTGCCGAGATGGACAAACTCACTAAAGAAATCCAAGAAAAGGAAGAATCTGAATACTACCTGGTTTGGCAAAAGTGGTATCAATGGCTGGAGAAAAGGAAAATGAAATAAAAAGATGATTCTAAAAGATGTGAACCCAGTTGTGTACCAAATGAGATACAATAGAGTTACAACAAAACTTCAAAAAGTATCGTTATATAAAGTGAGATGTGGGAATATACACTGAGAAATACAATTTACCGATGTATTTTCTTAAGAAATAAGATATCATGTTCAAATGTTGTACATGTTGTGTATTGTTTTTACTTGTACCTGTTTGTGTTCTTTTTTCTTCTTCTCTTCTTTCTGTCTGTGTATGTTTTTAATTCAATAAAAAAAAGAGAGAAAGATGGTGATAGAGATACAATATATCTGACTTTCTAAGGCTGTCCAGCGCTGTCCTCAAATGGAGAGTGTACAATCTCAGCTTTTTAATAGAACAGAAGAGGAAGAGAAGAGAACAGAAGAGAGGAGAAAAAAGAGAACAGAACAGAATGTAGGCTGGGTAGGGTATGGTATGGTATGGTAGGGTAGGGTAGGGTAGGGTAGGGTAGGGTAGGGTAGGGTAGAGTAGAGTAGAATAGAATAGAATAGAATAGAATAGAATAGAATAGAATAGAATAGAATAGAATAGAATAGAATAGAATAGAAAATATGGAATGGAATGGAATGGAACATTAGAATAGAATAGAATAGAATAGAATAGAATAGAATAGAATAGAATAGAATAGAATAGAGAGTGGAGTGGAGTGGAATATAATAGAATATAGAACAATAGAATGTGGAGTGGAATGGAATGGAATGGAGTGGAGTGGAGTGGAGTGGATTAGAATAGAATAGAATGGAATGGAGTAGAATATGGAAGGGGAGAAGAGAAGAGAAGAGGAGAGGAGAGGAGAGGAGAGGAGAGGAGAGGAGAGGAGAATCCCAATGGCCAAGTGTGATGGGACACACAAGGACTTTGTCTCCGGTGCAGAAGCTCTCAGTGTGCAGACAAGCAACAACGGATAAATGCTGAGCATAAAAGACATAAAATACATAAAATACAACCCTGATGAATCCTAAGATAGCGGACTCTTCTCAAAGCCCCTCCTGCAACGCGCAAGTCCCTTCGCTTCGCTCCTTTCCAGCCGGGCGAGCGCGCTGGAGAAGGGCGCAGCGGGAGCGCGTCTTGGCCGGTCGCCCGGCCTGTGGGGCAGCCCCTGGCTTCCGACACCGCCCCCCGAGCACCTGGGCTGCCCTGCTTGCCTTCTCCGCCCCTTGCCGGCTACATCCGAGCCCGACCAGCAGGTCTCCGAGACCCTGAGCGGCAGAAGCGCCCGGCTGATTCGCCAAGGACCCTCGCGCCATGGAGAGGCTGGGGAAGCAACGCAGCGCGCCCCTCCGGCTGGGGATCTTGCTCCGGCACCTGCTTCCCCCCGCCGGATTCGTATCCTTCTCCTATCGGGACTTTGCACCTTCTGGGCCCCGGGACTGGCAAAGCCCGCAACGTCGGGGTAAAAAAAGCTCAACCGGTTGGAGGAAGACTCCGGGGTCTCTTGGTGCGCTCTGAATTTAGTTGTTTCCTGGAGACCTTTCACGACCCCACTAGGTTACATCATCAGTGCTGGAAGGGAGGGGGGTTTGCAGAGAGGAGGAGGAGGAGGACTGTGGGGGCCCTTGGTTGAAACAGCTTCCAACTCCTCCCAACTCTAAAGTATGTTAAATTAAATTAAATTTCAAACTGGTGGCGGCTGTAAAATAACTTGAGGGGGATGAGGGGTAATTTAAATGGGAAGACGCTATATTATATTTAATTTCTTTCTGTTTTATGAGAACTCCTGTGATTATAAATGCATTCCGAGTGTGTTTCCCACCGGAACTTCTGCCATCAAAGCCATCTTTTTAAATTTTCTTAATTTGATGTCAAGACACCTTTTCCAACTTCAGCCCAGGTTGCTCCTGTGACATGCCCAACGCAGTTCCGGTAAGTGGAACTTGACTCTGATTTTCCTCGGATGAAAACACAGATTCAAAAGTTTGCTCCATTTTGCTCCCTTTGGGTATTAAGCAGTATGTTTATGTGGGGTTCCGTAGTTTTTGATTTTGGTTTGTAAAGTGAATGACTTCTCTTAAACTGGCCTTGCCTTTGGTAAGTAGTTGGGTTGACTTTATTTTGATGAATATGTCTCATTTTCAGAGAATAACCTGCCACTCCAGGCCCCAGTAACACGTAGAAGACATCCCAAAGGTGCTTTTTTCAGGAGGTTTTTTCAGAACCACTTTCTTGGTTTTTCTTTTTGAAGACGTTTCGCTTCTCATCCAAGAAGCTTCTTCAGCTCTTGACAGGATAGTGAGGAAGGGAATCTTGCCAGAGCTGAAGAAGCTTCTTAGATGAGAAGCGAAACGTCTTCAAAAGAAAAAACCCCCAAGAAAGTCCAGTTGCCTTCTGAAAAAAGCACCTTTGGGACAACCATGACCTAGAGGACGGAGAATCTCTACAGACCAGTGGTGGGTTGCCCCCAGTTCACACCGGTTTGCAAGAACCGGGAGAAAAACCGGCAGGAGGCTCCGCCCACTGACCCGGACGTCATCGTAAGTGATCTGCGCATGTGCAGAAGAGAGCGCGCACACATGAGCACATGCAAACCTGTAGTAAAGATAAGTAGAACCCACTCCTGCTCCAGACATCTAGAAGGCATGTGCAACACAATACCAAGCACAATAGAACCTCTGGTCACGGACGCTTCTGACCACGACCATATCAGGCTTTTTTGTAAGCACCAAATTTCCTGTTGTTTGTTTGTTTGTAAACGTGTGGCCGCTGCATTAATTTTGCATTAATTTTGGGCATGCAGGCTCAGCCTGTGAAGGCACGGTTGGTCCTGACCAAACACAGAGCAAGCAGGGCTGTCTCAAACTGCAACAGATAGGATTAATGAGAAACAAACCTGGCTGACCACGAGGTCACAGACAAGACAGCAAATTGCAGTAGCTGACAGGCTAACATCACCCCCCAATGATAAGCAAGCTAGGAGGGAGGAAACAGTGGGAGTCAAGCCTCTATCGTCCAGCATGACGACAGCAAAAACAACAAGTGGGAGACGGCTGGAAGGGGCTATTACACGCGCAAGGGCTAAATTGATTAATGGCATATAAAGGCAGAGATCTCTGTAATGGTAGTTTAATACTCTGACGATGTCAGCAGGTGGCTGACCAAAGCTTAGTAGAATAAAATTTTAATTCTTTTAAAATCTTAAATTCCGGAGTTTGCAGTATGTCTGCTTCTTTTTTTTTTACTAATATACCTGGGACTCGTATTTTTAGAATAGTTTGTAATATATATTCTGACAGGTTCTGGAGAACCGGTAGTGGAAATTTTGAGTAGTTCAGAGGCAAATACCAGCTGGCTGGCCCCAGAGTGGGGTGGGAATGGAGATTTTGCAGTATCCTTTCCCAGGAGTGGGGAGGGAATGGGGATTTTGCAGTATCCTTCTCCTGGAGTGGGGTGGGAATGGAGATTTTGCAGTATCCTTCCCCTGCCACGCCCACCAAGACACGCCCACCAAGCCACACCACACCCACCAAGAGGTGGGCCTGGTGGCTCAGCAGATTGATAGCATTGTGATTAACACCAGCTGTCTGCAATTACTGTAAATTCAAATCTCCCCAGGCTCAAGGTTGACTCAGCCTTCCATCCTTTCTAAGGTAGGTAAATTGAGGACCCAGGTGTGGGGAAATAAGCTGACTTTGTATAAATATACAAAAGTATGAAGGCTATTGCTTAATGCACTGTAAGCCGCCCTGAGTCTCCGGAGAAGGGCGGCATATAAATCAAATTAAAAAAAAAAAAGAAGTCACGCCCACAGAACCAGTAGTAAAAAAATTTGAACTGACAAATTTCTCACTTAGCAACATGAATTCTGGGCTTGATTGTGGTCGTAAGTCGAGGACTACCTCTTCTGGCTCCCCCTCTATCATTTCCCTTCTCCTCTTCAGGACATTATTTCGCATTTCAGGGTTTTGATCTGAAGAACATCTTGTTTTAGGATTTCATGTATCTTCTGTTCAAGGCTTTTTTGGGGCGGGGGCTTGTATTTATTGTGTGGTTCTGTAAAGGAAGGGTCTCCAATCTTGGCAACTTTAAGTCTTGTGGACTTCAACTCCCAGAATTCCTCAGCCAGCTTCTGGGAGTTGAAGTCCACAAGTCTTAAAGTTGCCAAGGTTGGAGACCCCTGCTGTAATGTATCCCAAGGCTGCAAGTTTTCATTCCACTTCAATACAAAAAAAATCAATATTTCATGTCTCCACAGTTACACCTTGGATAATGACGTCTTAACTCCAGAGCAGAGACGTTTCTATGAGGACAATGGATATCTCGTCATCAAAAATCTGGTGGCTGATGAAGATATTGAGCGCTTCAGGTAAAACAAAGACAGGTATCCTTGACCCATGTGGCTGAAAACATTCAACCCAACACCTTTTTAATTTTTTTTATTTGTTTATATTTATATACCACCCTTCTCCCGAAGGACTCGGGGCGGTAAACAGCCAACAGATAAAACACAAGAAAATACAAAATTTTAAAACAGTAAATTTGAATTGCTCTAAGACAGGGCTCTCCAAACTTGGCACACCTGGACTTTAACTCCCAGAAAGTTGAAGCCCACAACTCCAATAATTCTGGGAGTTGAAGTCCACAAGTGAAATAATTCTGGGAGTGGAAGCCCCAAGTCCAAGAATTCTGGAAGTGGAAGCCCACAAGTCCAAGAATTCTGGAGTGGAAGCCCACAACTCCAATAATTCTGGGAGTTGAAGTCCACAAGTGAAATAATTCTGGGAGTGGAAGCCCAAGTCCAAGAATTCTGGGAGTGGAAGTCCACAACTCCAAGAATTCTGGAGTTGAAGTCCACAAGTCCAAGAATTCTGGGAGTGGAAGCCCACAAGTCCCACAAAACTTGAAGTCCACAAGTTTTAAAGTTGCCAAGTTTGGCGACTCCTGCTCTAAGAAGTCAGTTGGAAACCATGTCACTTGAGCAAACTAGGAATTGCTCTTAATGAACTATGTCACTGCAGTCAGAGTTTCTGTAATTTTAGAAGGTGGCTGTAATTGGAATCGTCTGGAGTTGTGCAAAAGGATGGTTTTCTTTTTGTAATTACGGCGGAAGTTTTAATTGTTGTTTACTGTGCTGTTTTTATTATTATAATTGTAGCATGTCTCTCAAACTGTTGGGGGGCCAGATCGTTGGGAGAGTGTGGCTAGGTGGTCATGTGATTGGGTGGGCGTGGCTAGGTCATGTGACTGGGTGGGCGTGGACAATTTAACAATCCATTGAACAATGCACACAAATTAAATTTTAATTTGTTTTGCTCCTGGGGGTGTCTTATTTATTTATTTATTTATTATTGTCTCCCTCTCTTTCCTTCTCTCTCTCCCTCTCTTTTTCTTTTTTTCTCTCTCTCCTTCTCTCTCCCTCTGTCTCTCTCTTTCTCTGTCTAACTCCCTCTCTCTCCCTTTCCCTTTCTCTCTCTCTCCCTTTCTCTCTCTCCTTCTCTCTCTCTCCCCTCTTTCATTCATCCTTTCTTTTTCTTTTTCTCTCTCTCTCTCTCTTTCTCTTCCCTCTCTTTCTTTCTTTCTTTCCCTCTCTCTTTCCTTCTCTCCCTCCCTCCCTCCCTCTCTCTATCTTGTGGAAGCGGTGAAGGTGAAAAATGGGCCGGTTTAGCCTGTTTTTTTGCCTTTTCACACACACAATTTTTGCCTGTTTTTTGCCTCTTCTAACCCCCTCCCCCACCTCCACAAGCATTCTGCAGGCTAAAGCCAGGCAAAAATGGCTGGTTTTTTGGGCAAAAACGGTTTTCTCCCTTTTCTTTTTACTAGATCGTTTTTTATGTTGTTTAGGAGTCTAGTGGTCCACTCCAGGAAAATCAGTTTCGCTGCAATTCTTCTCTTTTTCTCTCTCTTTCTCTCCTTCTCTCTCCCTCTGTCTCTTTCTTTCTTTCTCTGTCTGTCTCTCTTTCTTTGTCTAACTCCCTCTCTCTACCTCTCCCTTTCTCTCTCTCTCCCTCTCTCTCCCTTTCTCTCTCTCCTTCTCTCTCTCTCCCCTCTTTCATTCATTCTTTTTCTTTCTCTCTTTCTCTTCCCTCTCTTTCTTTCTCTTTCCCTGTCTCTTTCCTTCTCTCCCTCCCTCTCTCTCTCTTTCTGTCTCTCTCTTCCTCTCTGTTTCTATCTCTCTCTCTTTCTGTCTGTCTCTCTCTTTCTATCTTGTGGAGGCGGTGAAGGTGAACTAATTGCTTCCTGCAAAGGCTCACATCCGTTTGCTCCTCTTTTATGACTTATGGGAGGGGCCAATCATCTCCAAACCTTACTCCTGAGTCGCCCCTTTTGTTTTCTTAATTGTTCTTGCCTTCTGGCAGCTCTGCGCATGCGCACACTGGGAACAGGCTCTCGCTGTTCTTCTGCTTCTCTGATGTCAGATTCCGGAGGCTCCGGAGGCAGCACATAACTCCCAGATGGCCCTGGCTCCCTCTCTGCCTCCGACTCAGAGCCCTCGTCCGAGCCTTCCCCAGACTCCAGGACTGGCCCACATTCCTCCCCAGCCTCCTCACTGTCCGACTCCACTGCCAGCTCCGCAGGCTGCCGACGGGCCACAACAGACATACCTAGCTCCCTCGACGGTTCATCGTACGATTTAGCCTCCAGCACTCTGGAATAATTCCTTTTTGATTCCCAATGGAAAGTCTTACGCGGAATGAATGCAAAAGTAGAGGAGTTCTGGATGCCAATTTAAAGTGCTTTCCCCTTTTCTTTTCTTTTCTTTTTTAACCCTGTTTTCAGAGAGGAGTTCATAAAGATATGCAGAAAGGAAGTGAAGGTGCTTGGAATAACCATCATGAAAGACATCACCATTGCCAAGTCTGAAGCCAACGAGAATAACGTTTCCAAATTGCAGGATTTCATCTATAGCGAGGAGCTCTTTCGATACTGCACCTTACCTCAGGTGAAAGCGGGACTGTTCCGAAATCCTAAAATTTTGCATAAACATCTCTCCCCATCTCAGAAGAACTTACCTTATGCGCAGCCAGAATCTGAAAATGACATTTAACACAGCCGGGTACTTAAGCAAAATGCTTCGGTTGAGATCGGCATACGTGGGACTGATTGGGGTAGATTGCAGGGGTGACACCGCAATATAATTTCATCATATTTTATCTGTATCTTAAATTATTGTTATTTTATTCCAATGTCATTTTACACTGTACTTTATTCCAATTTCATTTTAAATCGTAGTTTTTCCAATTCCACTTTAAATTGCTTTTATCAAATTTTAGTAATAATTTGTTTGTGGAACTCTGCACTTTGATATGGGCCAAGGGCTAATCAGTCAATCAATCAATCAAATAAGCAGGTGTCGTATTAAACACATCATCCCTTTATTATATTTCTGGCATTGTACCGAACAAAAATATTTCTGGTTTTAGGTCTTACGTGTTGCTCTGTCATTTTTTTCCTAACCGTGTATGTATGCCCCTGCCCCACCCTTTATGTCAGGCTGCCATCCAAGCGAAGCAGAGCCGAAGCCGGCTATTTTCCGTATCGCTTTTTGGTGTTTTTTTTTTTATTGAAAAAGTTTTACAAATACATTTTCTCCCCAATTTCCCCTCCCTAACCCTCCCTAACCCCCCCTAACCCTCCCCTCCCCCCCGGACTTCCACAGAATATAATCCAAATCAAAAACATATTTTATAAAACTTGAACCCCTCCACCCCCTATATATTTTTCACATTTTCACAATTCAATTATTCTATCACTATATAATACCTTCAATTAAAAGCTATCTGATATTTCCTAGTTTGATATTTATTCTGCACATAATCTATCCACTTTTTCCACTCCCATACGTAAGTCTCTTGTGAGCGATCTTTTAAATATGCTGAAATCTTCGCCATCTCTGCAAAACTAGCCATCTTCAAAGTCCATTCTTCAATAGTGGGCATAGCATCATTTTTCCAATATTGACCTATCAGTAGTCTTGCTGCTGTAATCATATACAATATCAGCTTTACTTCACCCAATGTAAAACCCTTAACTATACCCAATGAAAACAATTGTGGAGAGAACTGAATTTTTTTCTTCAAAACATTTTGCATGACCCACCAAATTTTTATCCAAAAAGCCTTAACTTTCTTACAAGTCCACCACATATGATAATATGTGGCATCTAGGCAATCACATCTCCAGCATTTTGGTTGAACATTAGGGTACATACATGATAACTTCTTAGGATCTAAATGCCATCTATAAAACATTTTGTAAAAATTTTCCCTCAAATTCTGCGATTGTGTAAATTTAACATTCTGAACCCATATTTTTTCCCATGTTTCCAACATCACTGGTTCTGCAAAATTTTGTACCCACTTTATCATACAATCTTTAACCAGTTCAGTTTCTGAATCCCTTTCTAACAAAACATTATAAACCCTTTTAATATGCATCGGATCTTTCTCTTTTATATGTCTAACCAATTCCTCCTCATGCATCATTATACCAGTTTTTTGGTCCTCTTTCCATCTCAGTTGAAGTTGGTTATACTGTAACCAGCTTTTTGGTTTTTAATCATTCCATCATAAGGATTTGTGGCGGCTTTAAATATCTCTTTCTTTTCTGAGCTGGTTTTGTTTCCTTTAGATTGTAAAATACGTCGAATGCTTCACGGGGCCGGACATCATGGCTATGCACACCATGCTGATCAATAAACCTCCCGATACAGGTGAGACGCAGGTGAATTAACAGGTGAGAAGAAGCTCAGAGAACACCAGGGACCCCCTCCTGTCAACCCTGCGCCAGAAATAATTCTCCTTTGTTGCTAGGGTTACTCCCTCTTTCTGAGACCAAGGAATTTCTCCCCCTTTCCAGGCAAGAAAACCTCTCGTCATCCTTTGCATCAGGATCTTCATTACTTCCCCTTCCGGCCTGCCGACCGAATTGTTTGTGCCTGGACCGCAATGCAAAAGGTGGACCGGACAAACGGATGCTTGGTTGTGTTGCCAGGGACTCACAAGGGCTGCCTGAAGGAACACAAATACCCGGATTGGGAGGTAAACGGCGGAGAGGGAGAGGCATGATTGGCGTCAAAAAGCTAGGGTACGGGTAGTCCTCGACTTACGACCAATGAAATCTCTTAGCGACCGACCTGAAAAAGAGGAACTTGCAACCCGGATTCAAAGTTCTGACGGTCACCCCACCCCCTGCCGTCATGTGACTGCACTCCAGATGCTTGGCCACAGGGCCACCTTTACAGTCACACAATTATGTTTTATGACGGTTTTGCCTGAAAGCAAATTCCAGGTTTTGGGCAAAACTGCGCTCAGTGGGAATATTGGCTTTGCACTTACGACCGGGGTGTTTGCTTAATGACCACTGCAAACACTGTCAGATGAATGTCCCGTTTTATGACCATCATGGGCAGGCTTCATTACGGTTGTAACTCAAGGACTAACGCAGGCAGTCCTCGATGTACGACTACAATTGAGCCCAAAATATTTATGTTGTTAAGTGAGACATTGGTTAAGGGACTTTTGCTCCTTTTACGACCTTTCTTGCCACCGTTGTTAAGTGAATTGCTGCTGTTGTAAAGTTAGACCCACGGGAGGTGAGTTGGAAGACTGGGCTGGGAGGGGGAAACTTGACGTGTCCCATTAGGAAGGAAAGACAGTTTAGGACAGGAGTCTCCAACCTTGGCCACTTTAAGACTTGTGGACTTCAACTCCCAGAGTTCCTCAGCATGCTGGCCGAGGAACTCTGGGAGTTGAAGTCCACAAGTCTTAAAGTGGCCAAGGTTGGAGACCCCTGCTTTAGGAGACTACCTCCGAGAACAATTTTAGGATGTTCTGTGAAGACAAGGAGAAGGTGAACCAAGGTGGGAATACTAAAATTGCTCAGGCAATCAGAAACTGGAGGGGGGAGTCAAAAGAGGGATTAGCCTAGAATTCTGACGTAGCCACAAGTGGACCATGTCCAACTGCCCTTGAATTCCATTGACCTTCATCTAAATCTTAGCAGGTGCCCACCATGAGTTGAGAATATTCCCGTGCATAAGGTTTTAGTAATAAATCAGTTTAATTTAACAAATTTAATAAAACTAAAACTAAACTAATTGGACCTTCACATGTGGAATTGTGCTTTCAGGCTTAACATTATCCTCCTTATTTGCTAACTGTGAGAACTCAACTCTGGATGCTACGTAAAGTTGATAAGAGGGATTTGAGGAATTGCATTATGGCACAGTCTGAAGGTCTTAGGATGTCCAGTCTGGAGAAAGGAAGTGTTGTGACCCCGACTCCCGAGCCTGTCCTAACAGAGGAAGAGGACTCAGAATGTGATGGGGAGGAACTGATAAGGCCTCCCTCTCCAGGACCCTCCTCTCTGGCAATGCCTCAGGTTCCATCTGAAGGCCAAGAGGAACAGCCTGGGATATGCCAGGAGGAAAGCATATCAGATAGGGAGCAAGGATGATGAATCCTGGCTTGATCCCAGTCGGAGGGAGAAGCGTGCGCAGCAACGAAAGAGGCGTGGGAGGGCCCGAGGTTAAGCTGAGTCATTGAACCACACCCCACAAGGAATAAAAGTGGGTGGGATTGCTCTTCAGGCTTTGTGACGGTCAAAGTTAAAAACCTGAGAGTCACATCGTGTTACCTGAAATCTGGCTTGTGCATATTTGGATTGGATCTTGGCTAACTCTTGCTTCGTGCATTACTTTTTGCTACTGAACCGGACTGAGGATAAACTCTCTCTTGCTGACTGTGAGTGACTGATTTGGCAGGCATTTCGCAGTTTACTGCCAAAACTCTTATCTGCAAGGGTTTCTAGTCTGATTGCTTAATAAAAACTTGGCAGGCGTGCCTGGTTTTGTGTTTGCCAGTGTGGGGACGGGATAAACAATCCATCTAGCCATTGTTGGAAGGAGAATCCTGGTCAATGGATGGATATCTAAAATTTGGTCTCTGAGGGGTCCTCGGTGCTCCCTGGGTGTCTTCTCGCAGATGTTTCATGACCCAAATTAGGTAACATCATCAGTGCTAGTGATGAAACTGCAAGAAAACAGTGCAAGCTTCTAGCACTGATAATGTTACCTAGTTGGGTCATGAAACGTCTGCAAGAAAACCACCAAGCTCAGAGAGCACCAAGGAGCCCCTGAGTTACAAAGATTCTCCTTCATTTGGCCTGTTTGCGTCTCTCGGGAAGCTTAGAAGGTCAGTTCTACCTTGTTTTTTTTCCCCAGGGTGGTGTGAACAAGCTGTACCATGGGATCCATGACTACGACAAGAGTCTTCCCAGAGTCTACCTCCCCATGGAGAAAGGAGACACCGTCTTCTTCCACCCCTTGATCATTCACGGCTCCGGAAGAAACAGGACGGAAGGATTTCGGAAGGTAATCCAGACCCCCATAATTCTGGGTGTCTGAAGATCCCCCGAGACCTCACCTGCGGGGTTCAAAGCAAGGGCTTTCTGTGTCTTACCTGAACATTTATTTGGGCCTCTTTCTTAATGGTTTTGGTTAATAAGGCTTGGAACGTGGCCAATTCGCATTTAATCATGAAAATAAAAAATGGTGTAACTTCTGTCTCTTTCCTTCCCTCCCCCCCTCCTCCCTCTCTCTTCCTCCCTCCCTCCCTTCCTCTCTCTCTTTCTCTCTCTCCCTCTCTCCTCCTTTCTCTCTCCCTCTTTCTTCCCTCGTCCCTCCCTCTCCCTCCCTCTCCTCCTCTCCCACTCCCTTCCCTCTCCCTCTCCTCCTTCGCACTCCCTCCCTTTCTCCCTCCCTTTCTTGCTCTCCCTCCCTCTCTCCCTCTTTCCCGCCTTCTCCTTCTTTCCTCCTTCTCCTTCTATCCCTCCCTCTCCTCCTCTCATTCCCTCCCTCTCCTCCTCCTCTCCCACTCCCTTCTCTCCCTCTCCTCCTTCTCCCTCTCCTCCTTCCCACTCCCTTTCTCCCTCCCTCTTTCTCTCTCTCTCCCTCTCTCCCTCTCTCCCGCCTTCTCCCTCTTTCCTCCTTCCTCTTCCTGTCTCTCCCTCTCTCCCTCCTTCCCTCTCCCTCCCTCTTTCTCGCTCTCTCTCCCTCTTTCCCGCCTTCTCCCTCTTTCCTCCTTCCTCTCCCTCTCTCTCCCTCTCTTTTAATACAGGTTATTTCTTGCCATTACGCCAGTAGTGACTGCTACTATATTGACGTCAAAGGGACTATCCAGGAAACTGTAGAGAAGGAAATGGAAGAGATAACAAGGCGGAAGTTTAATATTGTTGGTTCATCGGTGGATTTGAAAGTAAGTATTTTCTTTCCTTTTTTTTCTTTCTTTTTTTTTAAAACACCATGTTCAAAAGCGTTCGGCCCTCTCCTTCTCTTATAAAGTGTTAAATCATTCTCCCTAATGAAGAAGTATGTAAAAAAACCCCACCATTTCTGCAGAATTTATATCAGAATATCTTTGGATGCTGCGCTTGTCTGCTTTTCAGTATTTCTTCTCTGAGATTGGATGAGGCTAAGTTTCTCCATGAGACTGGAATAAATCGTGAATTTATTTATTTATTTATTTTATAAAATTTGTCTGCCACCCTATCTCCGAGGACTCAGGGCGGCTCACAACGACAATCGACCAAACGACTGTTAAAACCAACAAATATACATAAATTAAATATATGAATTATATTTCCTATAACTGTACCTTCGTTTGGAGGCTAGTAGTACAGGCAGTCCTCAACTTATGACAACAGTCTGGACTAGGATTTCCGTTGCTAAACGAGGAAGTCGTTAAGTGTGCCCGATTTTATGACCCTTCTGGCCACAGCTAATAAACAAATCACTTGTCGTTGTTAAGTGACTCTTGGCAGAAGGTCGCAAAAGGGGATCATGTCACACACACACACACACACACTCGTCATAAATCCGAGTCAGTTGCCGAGCTGTCTGAGTTTTGATCACGTAAGCACGGGGAGGCTTACAACAGTCGTAAGTGTGAAAAAAACCGATCCTAAGTTGTTTTTTTTCCGCGCCATTGTCACTTCCAAGGTCACTAAATGAACTGTCGTAAGTGGAGGACTACCTGTGTTGTGTTCCGAACGTGGAAAAATCTTTTTAAATGGACATTCAAGGCATTAACTAAACTCAACCTCTTTATATCTTCCCGTGCGAATCAGGATAAATCTCATTATTTCTGTTTTGTTTCTCAGCACGCTGTTATGTTACGGTGTCGACTGGTTAAAGGGGAGAAAAAAAATATTTAAAACTCTGTTTGGATTCATTCTCCAATCAGCGAAGAAGCCTCGGAAAATTCAGCATTTATTTTTTCTTACTTTTGGGGGGAAGGGCTGTGCGGTTAGTAATAATCTCGATAGCACTTTGAAGCGCTATCTGCATCTGGAACTCAATTCAGGGCTGCAATTCTAGGCACATAAATTGTGAGTTACAATGACTATGGTGAAATTTCTTTCTGAGTAAAAAAATAAATGGTTAGAATTTAAGCTGCAATTCTATACACGTTTTACTTAGATTCTAAGAATTTAAACTGCTGTCCTAGTCTTTTTCTTTTGAAAATATTTTTTTCTTTTAAAACAAAAACAAAATATAAAACCATCATCATTCCCAACAATTACAGACAGTATGTCGAACGATTAATATTCTCTTGTGCATAATTCAATTTCTAAAATACCAATTTATAACAGGAACTTATATCTCTTATTAAAAAAGCTTCACATATTTTATCTTTACATCAACACCATATTTCATACTTCAACTCGATGATTTATTATCTATCTATTGATAAAACAAATCCCATATCAAATAGTATTGTTTATCTTCCTGTTCTCTAATTTCAAATGTCAATTTACTCATTTCAGCACATTCCATAATTTTCTTAATAACCTCATCATCTGTAGGTAACTTCTCTCCTTTCCAGTTTTTAGCAAATACAATTCTAGCCGCTGTTAAAACATTCACAATTAAATATTGCAATTCTCTATTGTATGTTTCCTGTAAAATCCCTAATAAAAATATCTCTGGTTTAAAGTCAATGTGTTTATCATTTTTTCCACCCACGGGTGTATCTTAATCCAATATCTCTTGGCTTCTACGCATGTCCACCACATATGGTAATATGATCCTGGAGTCTGATGACACTTCCAACATTTCTCAAGACCACAATTTCTTTCTCCTTATACTTCAAAGTTTTCTCTCTAGCAATCTGAAGTATCTGTGCTTTAATTGATTTCTTAGTAAATCTTATGTGTACTTCTTGTGGTAACTTGTTATGCATTGCGTATCTGGTATACACTCAATATATCTCGTCCACATCATCCATCATCTTCTCCTTAGTAATTTCTAGCGCTTCAGCTAATATTCCTATCATAATTCCTGCCAAGTTCTCACCCTTTTCTTCTTCCACATTTTGAAATCTGAGATAAAATTCTAATCTGTCCATCTCCCATTCAATCAGTCTACTCCTGTCTCATTCAACTTCTCCCAATCTATTATCCATGTCTTTGATTTTTTCCTCCTTTTGCTCTTCCTTTTTCTCAAGCTTTTGCTCTTCATATTTCAGCATCCCTTGCTGAATGCTTACCACTTTTTCATCTGTTTTATGTAGTTGTTCATCTGTCTAAAGTAGTTGTTGTTCCACCCTTTGGACTGTTTGAAGAATCATCTGCATCGTCATGTCTTTCTCCTTTTCTTTCTCTTTCTCCTGCTGAAGCATGGTCTGAATTGATCGCTGTCCTCCAGATGGTGACGAAGAAGGCGTGGTAGAAGAAAATCCCACTGTTGCTACTTTTCTACTCATTCTGTCCAGTAGTCAGCAAAGACCAAGGCTGGGCCAAAGAAATGACAGAAAAAGAAAAATTGAATAGTTCTTTAGGTTCTTCGAAACCCTAATCCACTTTAACAAGCAAAAAAATAAAAAAGTAAAAAAAATTAAAAGGAAGAAAGGAGAAGAATAAAAAAAAGAAAAGCCAAAAAATCAAAAATCAATCTTCAAGCTCTTGGGCGCCTTAATCCAATTCAATTATGTAAAATTAACAAAAGAAAAAGAAAGTCATTTGAACATATTTATGCAGAAAAAGCATAGAGTTATCACTTAACCAAGGCTGGAAAGAATAATAAAAATCAAAAGAGGTTCCAGTTTCTTTTACAATGTTTCTGGACTCCCACTTCTTATAGATCCACAAGGAGCACCTGCGTAAACAATACAGATAGTTCCAACTTCCTCAGATGCTCTCACAACAATCTTATTAACCAAAAGGTTCAGAGTCCTTGGGTTAAAATAATAATGTAATTCTCAGCTTGTTACTTATATCAAGACAAATAAAAAAGTTTCTTTTCCAGCAGATGGCAGTATTACACACTCTCATGTCTTTTCTGCAGTTTGTAATCCAAAATTTCCTTGTCAGTAAAATAATAATTTTAAAGTTTAAACATTATTCCAAAAAAAAAAAGAAGAAGAAGAAAAAATTCAGTCTCAAAGAAAAATTATTTTAGAAAGAAAAGGCACAAAGGCTTACCAATTTTAGCCTCTTAATTTATCAATCTCTTTTAATCCAATTCCAGTCCATAGTAAAACAGAGTTTTAAAGTCTGCCAAATTAAATAGTTTGGGTTAAAAAAAAAAAAGTCCCAATGTCAGCACTTCAAGCTGCATTTACTCTAGTGCTGACATAAGAAGGAGAAGCGGAGGCATCTGGAAAGGGACGTTTGACTTTTCACCTACTTAATTTCCCTGGAGATACTATCCCCAAGGAGATGGGTTGGGAGGGGGAAAATTCCTTTGAGGTGAAGTAGTAGATAACAGCAGAGTGACTTGGAAGATGGCCAATGAGTGCAGAAGAGTGGGGAAAGGAAAAGGAGGGTTTTGGGTCAGGAAGTCAGTGTTGGCTACGATGGAGTCGGAGTTAGAATATCATGCTTAATAAATGGAAGTTTTTCATCAAAGACTTTATTTGAAATGCAATTTATTTGAGACGACCTCGAAACCTGCCACCCAGATTTCGAGGTGCTTAGATTCGCCGCTTAATTTCTTTAGTCTTCAATTCTCTTATCATTTCACATCAGGGTGTGCTTTATATTAGTTAAAATTAAGCTCTCTCACTGCATTGGCTCACTGCCCTTCTATTTCTCTTCCGGAGCTGTCACAACTTCAGCAACCACAATGGCTGCCACCCCGCTGTGAGAAAAAGGGCTTCTACTGGATCAACCAGGGACTTTGCAATATCCCTGGGATCGTCAGGATGTGCCCTCCACTATCACAGTCAAAACAAGACTGAGGTCCGAAAAGGACCGTCCAGCAGTGGGACTATCAGTGGCGATCCTTGAGCACCATTCCGATCATTCCGTCAGCTTCCTCAAACTGCTGTCCTAGTCTTGTTTAACAAATAAGAAACCTTATCAAGCTGAGCTCAGATGGACTTTTAACTATACATGCATAGAATTATATATTTAATTTAACAATTGTAACTGATGTATTTAAATAATTTAAGTAAATTAAATTGCCTCATTTCTCAGAGCTAGATCGATTTTAGATTTTTCTTCGAAGGAAAATCTTTTATTTTAATGGCAAGCATTTCTTCTCATAGTTTTTTCACCAGAGTGCAGAGTTTTAGATAGTTAACCCGGTTTTTCCGGTTTTCAAAAGCTGGAAGGAGCTGTTTTATTTGAGAAGAATATCATGGACTGGAAAAGGTAGAAGAAGAATCAAGCAACGATTGAAAGCAGATTTCCAGTTTCTGCATGTGAGCTTTTTCTTACATTAGAAGACGACATGAAAAGTGGATTCGTTTTTTCCTCTCTTTTTTTTTTCTTGTTCCTCTTCAGTTAACGTTTCTGAAATATTTCATCCAAGGGAGACTTTGAAGAGGAGGAGCAAGCAATGAAGAGATATAATTGTGATGCCAAAATAAAATAATAAATGAAAAACATGGTTTCCCTGTTTTGAATAATCTTACTTTTCTTACAAGAAATAAGCAAAAAGTATCATTGAGTCAAATGAATTGGATAGCCAGCAGATTTCAAACCAAATCTAAACCTTTATGGTCAATGCACAACATCTGTACAATGAAATTGAATTTTGAACATCTTTCAAAGTTAAACTAACCAGGGTGAGGGGTAGATTTTGACAGTGCCATCTTGTGACCAAGCAGCATAAAAAAAATGATGAAATGGAGATCAGTCATTCATCCCAATCCCCTTGAGAGAGAAATCAATCTCACAGGAGATAAACAAAATCAAGCTAATCTAGCATTTTACTAGATGCCATTGCTTGCACTGTACAGTATAGACCACAAGGTGGCAGTGGTCTGCTAAAAGTTGAAAAGTTTTCTGCCCAAAGTATTACTGATCCCTCTGAAAGAATTATAACTATTACAGGTTACACAATAGAATCTTTTTAAAAAAATACACCAGGCACCAGTGGTGGGTTTCCAAAATTTTTATTACCGGTTCTGTGGGTGTGGCTTGGTGGGCATGGCATGGCTTGGTGGGCGTGGCAGGGGAAGCATACTGTAAAATTTCCATTCCCTCCCCCTCCAGGGGAAGGTTACTGCAAAATCCCCATTTCCTCCCAATCAGCTGGGACTCGGGAAGCAGAGAATAGATGGGGGCGGGGCTAGTCAGAATTTTTACTACCGGTTCTCCAAACTACTCAAAATTTCCGGTTCTCCAGAACTGGTCAGAACCTGCTGAGACCCACCTCTGCCAGGCACCCATAATATTGTACTGTCCATTGAGAATGGACTGGGATGATCTGAAACTGTGTGAGACAAGGAGCCATTTCTTACTCATGCATTGTGAGTCTGAGCTTTTGTGTGTATAATGAAGAAGAATTATTCATATGGTGTTTTGTTTCTTTTGCTGAAAGAGAACTATTGAGCTGTAGGCACCACAGGAGGAGCACCAGGTTAGTTTTACGCAGGAGAAAAATATCAGGGCTCAGACAGCTGTTTTTCGCAACCTATAAATGATATTAGGCTACACTGCAATGCTTAAAATTATTATTATTATTAATGCAATGCTTAACATGAATGAGGTCTGGAAAATAAATAAATGAATCGGGCTAGTTGGAGCAATACTTCCTTTCACGGGTGTGAAAGAAAGTTGGGACGTTAGGAATGGCCGATCAAAGAAGAATTGGTGCTGGCGTAAATTATTGCACATACCCTGGACAGCTGGAGTAACCAACAGAGAAGTGTTCAATTGAATAAAACCAGACACATCGTCAGAAGCTAGAAGCACAAAGCTGAATCTGGTTTACTTCGGCCATGTCATGAGCTCAAACTCACTGGAGAAGTTCATTGTTCTGACCCAGCTCCCTAAACACGACAAACCCTCTGAAGTTAAATCAAGGATTCCTTTATTAGGAGCACCCGGCAAAACGTTTCTCACTCGACGCAGGCTAACAAGTCCATCTGGCAGGATGATGAATAGTTGTCTGCCACACCTATTCATCTCCGCCCACTGCCTTTTATCCCCAGAGCTAGGGTGGGGCTTCGCTAGCAGCAGTGGCTCTTCCTTCCCAAGGACCGGCCCATAGATTTCCATTGCTCTCCTCTCCTCTGCCTTCTGCGCTTCAGGCACTGGACCCAGCTGTTCCTCCTCTTCCTCATCATCCACCTCCAGACCGTCTCTCTCTCTCTCTCTCCCCCCCTCCCTCCTTCCCTCCCTCCCTCTCCCCCCCTCTCCCTCTCTGACAACTCCATTCCCTCTTCCCCCTCAAGAGCTCTCAGTTACTTACAACCAGTCCTTACACATAACAACTGTCGCAACATTGCTACAGTCAAAATATCAAAATTTGGGCGCCTGGTAACCAGCGTATATTTACAAAGGTCCTAACATCGGATTGTGACTGACTTAACAACTGCCTTGCTTGACAATGGAAATTCTGGTCCTGGTTGTAACTCGAGGACTACTGGTATTCCCTGATTTACAACGGTTCATTTAGCGACCGGAGTTACAACGCCACCGAAAAATGTGACTTATTTATTTATTTTATTTTATTTATTTGATTTGATTTGATTTCTATACCGCCCTACTCCCGAAGGACTCAGGGCGGTGCACAGCCAAACAATAAAACACATACATACAAAATTGAAAAAGTAGAATTAAAATCAAATTAAATAGTTTTGGTCCAGACAAATTAAAACCCCAATCAATTTAAAACCAATTTTAAAATTTGAATATATAAAATACTAAAAAATATTAAAAATTAAAAATCTTTTAATTCGTTAATTCGACTTAGGACCATTTCTCACACTTTTCAAGATATCTATGGACTTCAACTCTCATGCTGGCTGGGGAATTCTGGGAGTTGAAGTCCACAGATCTTAAAATTCCCGAAGCTGAATTTTGGACGGTATATGCTAGTATAGATTAATCTCCAAAAGATTAATAAATCTTTTTATTTTTTTAGCATACCGGATTTTTTTATGTTTAAGTCCATGACTGGCTTAAGATCATCCTTAGAAGTCACAGTAGAGTTGAAATTTAAACCCAAATGAAATAAAATCTTTGGTGACTATTGTCACATTGTGTAGAAACAGCCAAACAAGAAAAGTTGGGAATTGTTGCTAATACGGGTAGTCCTTGATTTACAACAGTTCATTTAGTGACCGTTTGAAGTTATGACAGCACTGAAAAAAACTGACTGAAGACTTCTGTTTTTTTTTTTTAAAAAAATTGATTTATATGCCGCCCTTCTCCGGAGACTCAGGGCGGCTTACAATGCATTAAGCAATAGCCTTCATACTTTTGTATATTTTATACAAAGTCAGCTTATTGCCCCCACAATCTGGGTCCTCATTTCACCTACCTTTGAAAGGATGGAAGGCTAAGTCAACCTTGAGCCTGGTGAGATTTGAACTTGCAGTAATTGCAAGCAGCAGATGTTAATAACAGTGCTTTAGTCCTCTGTACTATCAGGCTCTTCTGTTGTATCGAATGCCAGGTTTCCAGAAATTCTCCATCATTTTTTAGACTTAGCTTGGTTCGGGATGATCAGAATTTCCCTGCTGAAACTATGGCTAAGGCTGTCCATGGGTTGGGCAATTAAAGAGTCTTTGGACTGCTAGTTAGTATTCATGGATGCACTCTGCTTGTCTTCTGTTGGCTCGGGGCTTCTGGGAGTTGAAGTCCCCACATGTTAAAATTGCCAACCTTGAGAAAGATGGTTATATCACAAGATAAAATAATATCGAAAGTAATGGAATGTGCCGAGATGGACAAACTCACTAAAGAAATCCAAGAAAAGGAAGAATCTGAATACTACCTGGTTTGGCAAAAGTGGTATCAATGGCTGGAGAAAAGGAAAATGAAATAAAAAGATGATTCTAAAAGATGTGAACCAAATTGTGTACCAAATGAGATACGATAGAGTTACAACAAAACTTCAAAAAGTATCGTTATATAAAGTGAGATGTGGGAATATACACTGAGAAATACAATTTACCGATGTATTTTCTTAAGAAATAAGATATCATGTTCAAATGTTGTACATGTTGTGTATTGTTTTACTTGTACCTGTTTGTGTTCTTTTTTCTTCTTCTCTTCTTTCTGTCTGTGTATGTTTTTAATTCAATAAAAAAAAGAAAGATGGTGATAGAGATACAATATATCTGACTTTATAAGGCTGTCCAGCGCTGTCCTCAAATGGAGCGTCTACAATCTCAGCTTTTTAATAGAACAGAAGAGGAAGAGAAGAGAACAGAAGAGAGGAGAAAAAAGAGAACAGAAGAGAATGTAGGCTGGGTAGGGTAGGGTAGGGTAGGGTAGGGTAGGGTAGGGTAGGGTAGAATAGAATAGAATAGAATAGAATAGAATAGAATAGAATAGAATAGAATAGAATAGAATATAGAGTGGAGTGGAGTGGAGTGGAGTGGAATGGAATGGAATGGAATGGAATGGAATGGAATGGAATGGAGAATAGAATAGAATAGAATAGAATAGAATAGAATAGAATAGAATAGAATAGAATAGAATAGAATAGAATATGGAAGGGGAGAAGAGAAGAGAAGAGAAGAGAAGAGAAGAGAAGAGAAGAAGAGGAGAATCCCAATGGCCAAGTGTGATGGGACACACAAGGACTTTGTCTCCGGCGCAGAAGCTCTCAGTGTCCATACAAGCAACAACGGATAAATGCTGAGCATAAAATACCGATCCTAAGATACCAGACCCTTCTCAAAGCCCCTCCTGCAACGCGCATTCTCCGCTCAGGGAAAGCCAAGCGTGGCGTTGGGGGCCGAGCCTCCCTTCGCTTCGCTGCTTTCCAGCCGGGCGAGCGCGCTGGGGAAGGGCGCAGCGGGAGCGCGTCTTGGCCGGTCGCCCGGCCTGTGGGGCAGCCCCTGGCTTCCGACGCCGCCCCCCGAGCACCTGGGCTGCCCTGCTTGCCTTCTCCGCCCCTTGCCGGCTACATCCGAGCCCGACCAGCAGGTCTCCGAGACCCTGAGCGGCAGAAGCGCCCGGCTGATCGCCAAGGACCCTCGCGCCATGGAGAGGCTGGGGAAGCAACGCAGCGCGCCCCTCCGGCTGGGGATCTTGCTCCGGCACCTGCTTCCCCCCGCCGGATTCGTATCCTTCTCCTATCGGGACTTTGCACCTTCTGGCCCCGGGACTGGCAAAGCCCGCAACGTCGGGGTAAAAAAAGCTCAACCGGTTGGAGGAAGACTCCGGGGTCTCTTGGTGCGCTCTGAATTTAGTTGTTTTCCTGGAGACCTTTCACGACCCCACTAGGTTACATCATCAGTGCTGGAAGGGAGGGGGGTTTGCAGAGAGGAGGAGGAGGAGGACTGTGGGGGCCCTTGGTTGAAACAGCTTCCAACTCCTCCCAACTCTAAAGTAAATTAAATTAAAACTAATTAAGTTAATTAAAACGAAGCTCCCCAACTAATTCAAGTTCTTGGATGGTTGTTTTGTTCCTCTGATGTTTCTATTTTATATTTCCTTATGTAGGAAGGAAACATTCCACTGGAGCCATTAAAAAAAAAAAGGAACATTTTCAGCTCCTTTATCCATCAAGCTTTTAAATTTCAAACTGGTGGCGGCTGTAAGATAACTTGGGGGGGGGAGTGGTAATTTAAATGGGAAGACGCTATATTATATTTAATTTCTTTCTGTTTTATGAGAACTCCTGTGATTATAAATGCGTTCCGAGTTTGTTTCCCACCGGAACGTCTGCCATCAAAGCCATCTTTTTAAATTTTCTTAAATTTGATGTCAAGGCACCTTTTCCAACTTCAGCCCAGGTTGCTCCTGTGACATGCCCAACGCAGTTCCGGTAAGTGGAACTTGACTCTGATTTTCCTCGGATGAAAAAACACAGATTTAAAAGTTTGCTCCATTTTGCTCCCTTTGGGTATTTAGCAGTATGTTTATGTGGGGTTCCGTAGTTTTTGATTTTGGTTTGTAAAGTGAATGACTTCTCTTAAACTGGTCTTGCCTTTGGTAAGTAGTTTAGAGTTCAGCCAGTTTGGGGTTTTGTTTTTTATTTTGATGAATATGTCTCATTTTCAGAGAATAACCTGCCACTCCAGGCCCCAGTAACACGTAGAAGACATCCCAAAGGTGCTTTTTTTCAGGAGGTTTTTTCAGAACCACTTTCTCGGTTTTTCTTTTTGAAGACGTTTCGCTTCTCATCCAAGAAGCTTCTTCAGCTCTTTTTTTTTTAATTTTTTTTATATTTTTATTGTTAAAGAATAACAAAAAGGAAAAAAAATCAATACAAAAAATCAATAGTAAAGAAAGAAAAAAAAAATTTTTTCCCCCAACATGCTATACAAACGGAAAGGAAGTTTTAGGAACTTGAAGTCTTCAATTCTTCCAGAAATCTCTTTGATAAGGTACTGGTGCCGATTCATCCAATCTCCCAAGTGCAAAGTCCCCAAATGGTTGCCAAGTGTTCCAAAAAACATTTTCTTTATATATACCACTTCTAATTTTAATATCACAAGTCAATTTATCATTTAATGCAAATTTCTATGTTTCATTATACCATTCTTCTAATTTTAAGTCAACATTTAATTTCCAATATCTAGCAATTATAATTCTCCCCATTATAACCAAAATCCTCACCAATTCTCTTTCTCCAGTTGTTAATGTTGTTTCATTCAATATTAATAATAATATGGTTTCCAATTTCAATTTGACCCTCTTCTTAATTATTTCAAATATTTCATTTTCTATCCTAGACCAAAAAAGTTCAACCCCATTACATTTACACCACATATGAGCATATGTCCCAAGTTCCACTTTACATCTCCAACACATTTTATCCACTTTATTATCCATTTGAAAAAGTCTTATTGGAGTCAGATACCACTTCCAAATAACTTTATAATTATGTTCTTTAATCCTTATTGATAATGTCCTCATTATTCTGCTAACCCAATTCATATTCCAATTTTGATCAGAAATTTCAATACCCAGTTTTTTTACCCAATTCTCTTTCATTACCCTTTGTGAATTATTATCAAAGTTAATAATTTTATAAATTTTACTAACTAAACCCTTTGGCCCAATTTCATCTTTTATTATTCGAGATGTCAAATTTTCAAATTCCATTTCCTTTCTACTCTCATCATTCCTTTCTTTGCATTTCCTATTCCATTTATTCATTTGAATTCTTTCAAACCAATTATTGTTTAATTTTCCATAAATTTCCTCTTTCCTCATTTCATTTTCTATAAATTTCAGCCATTCACTAATTGTTTCCACTTTCTCTTCTATTATAATCCTCTCTCTGTTACTATTTAATTTCATTGGGCAATTCTCTTTCAGTTTACCTAAATACAATGCGTCTGGTATTAATTTTTTTGCTACTCTGTCCCAATTTTTAGTCAAACTATTTAACCAATAATTACAAATTTTAACCTTACCTTTAAAATTTTCCAAAAACCATTTGTAACCAAACTTCTTTATTTCCTTCATTTCCAAATTACCCCAAAGTTTAACATCTCCTTTTAAAATTTTTACTACTGTTTTTATATTAAATGCTCTATAATAGTTTAATAATTTTTGAATTCCTAAACCACCTTGTTTTTGGTTCTGATACCACATTTTCTTAATCAGTCTTGGTTTTTTATCCCCATTACAAAATGTATCTATTTTTTTTTTGATATACTTCAATGTCCTTCTTGGTTAAAAAAATTGGAAGCATCTTGAATAAAAAGTTAAATTTAGGAAGTAACATCATTTTACATAAAGCTACTCTACCAAACCAAGATAACTTGAGTTTTTTATATTTCCCAATTTTCTCTTCAACTTCTTTTGTTACTATGTCATAATTTAGTTTCTTTAAATTTTTAATTTTAAGTGAAAGTATAATACCTAAATATCTTAAATTATCCTTTATCCTAATTCCAAATTGATTTTGTAATTTTTCTAATTTATTTTCCCTATCAATTTCCATTAATAATTCTGATTTTGCCCAATTTACTTTCAAACCAGTCATATCTTCAAATTCTTCTAAATGTATTTGAACTCTTTTTATATCATTTGTAATATTGTTTAAAATGACAAGAGTGTCATCTGCATATAAATTAACTTTGACACCTTTATAACCTATTAATTCTGAATCCTCTTCAATCAAAGTTGTTAAAATTTCCATTGCTAATAAAAATAGGATCGGAGACAGAGGACAACCCTGTCTTGTCTCTGCTTCCAAATTTATATCTTGTGTAAATATACCATTTACCTTCACTCTTGCCGTACCCCTCTGGTACAATTTGGAAATAATATGAATAAATTTATTACCAAATCCTAATGCAGAAATCATTTCTTTTATAGTATCCCATTGTATAGAATCAAAAGCTTTAAAAATATCCAAGGCAAGAATACCTATCTTATCACCATTATTCTCAGCAATATCAATAACATTTAATACTCTTCTAACTAAATCACACATATAACGCCCTTTAACAAAACCTACTTGATTATGGTTTATATATTTATCTATAAAATTATTCAATCTATTTGCTACAATTGCAGTAAATATCTTAGCATCTTGGTTAATCAAGGAAATGGGCCGATAGGATTCAATTTTTTCTAAATCTTTACCTGGTTTCGGGATTAAGGATATAATTGTTCTATTCCAGGACATGGGAATATCATCTCCATGTAATATCTTATTATACAATTTCTGTAATTTTGGGATCAAAATTTCTTTAAACTCTTTATAAAATTCTGCTGGTAACCCATCCTCACCTGGAGATTTTCCAAGTTTTAGCTTCTGAATCACATCTTTAATTTCCTCAGAGGTAATATCCTTTTCCATTTTTTCTTTATATTTATTATCAATTTTCTTCTGACCATATTTTTCTAAGAAATTTTTTAATTTACAATTATCAATTTCTTTTTTAAGATATAATTCTTGAAAAAACTTTTTAACAATTTCACATTTCTCTAATTTTTTATAACATCTCTTACCTTTTTCATCTATTAGGACACCTATTTCTCTTTTTTCTTTTTTATCTTTCGCCATTCTTGCTAATAATTTTGAATTTTTATTACCATATTCAAAAAATTCTCTTTTTAAATAGCTTAATTTTTTTTAACTATTTCTGTATCTTCCGCTATTTGTTTATTTTTCAATTTTTTAAGTTCCTCCCATAATTTCCTATCCTTAGTCTCTAGAAATCTATTTTCCAGTTCTTTTATCAATTTCTTCTTTTCCTCTATTTTTACTTTATAATTCTTATACTTCCTACTTGATAATTTAATACTTTCTCCTCTAAAAATTGCTTTCATTGTGTCCCAAACTGTTCCATAATTAACTTCCCCATTATCATTTCAATCCCAATTTTCTTCCCATTTCTTAAGAATACGATTCTTATCTTCCTCGTTTTTATATAATTTTTCATCATATCTCCAACAATTTTCTTTTTTCTCCAAAAACATATATAATTCTAATAACAATTCTGCGTGGTCAGAGTCTTTAAATATTCCAACATCCATATTATCCATGTTATCCATCAGATTCTTGGATACAAAAATATAGTCAATTCTTGAATATGAATTAAATACCTTTGAGTGAAAAGTATACATTCTTTCATTACCTTTAATCTCCCTCCAAACATCAACTACACCATTTTGCAACATCCAATTATCAAGTATCCCCATTTTTCTTATTCCACCATATCGGGTAGGATTGGTACTATCCATCTGGTTTCTAATTAAATTAAAATCACCAGCAATAATTACTTTCCCTACCCTTTCAGTTTGCAACAAATTGGTAATCTTATTCAAAAAATCTTTTTGATTCACATTTGGTGCGTATAAATTAACTAATGTTATTTTTTCCTCGTTAATACATCCTGTTATTATCAAATATCGTCCATCAATATCTGCTATTACTTTATTTTTTTCAAATTGGACTCTATTTGATATTAATGTTGCAACACCTCTAGATTTTGAGGACCCAAAAGCTTTTTCATAAACCTGCATCCCTTTTAAATACATCCTGTTTATATCCTCAGATTTCTGATGAGTTTCTTGCATAAAAAGTATGTCAGGAGAATCTCTTTTAATCTTAAATTCTAAACGTCTTCTCTTAATCTGATTCCCAGTACCTTTAACATTCCAAGTCATTACCTTAATTACCCCATTAATATTTTTAATTTTAACTATTCCTTCTTTTTCCTTTCCGTGACCCAAAACCCAAACAAATATATATAGATAACACATAACATAAAAATAATAATAATAAAAAAAATAATAATATAAAACATACAAACAACATAAAACAAAAACTAACATGACACACAACCACATAAAATCTTCATCCCCCACCGTCTTCATTAAGATACGCCTCGTTTCCAAGAGTGGGGGAGAGGGGACCCCGTCCATCAGCTGGGTCGTCTCTTCATTGGCGTAATTCTGGTTTCAATTGAACAACTACAGGTTCTTCATCCCCGCACTCGGGCTCATCTTCCCTTTTATGTTCAGAGTCCAATGTAATCATCCTTTCCACTCCTTCACCAATAAGATCTCGACTTTTCTTCTGTACCTCCGCCAAAGATGGAGAAATATCTTTCGTTGGTTTTCTTTTCCTCTTTGGTTTTGGACCTAAACCTCCGACCGCCCCTCCTTCTTCCTCTGGTGTTGATGTATATATTTCAATTCCACCCATTTTGAGTAATTGTGATCTTAATTCACATTGTTCTTCCTCTTTTTCCAAAAAGCCAAGCTCATGGAAGTATTGGACCACATCCGTTTCTATTGTGAATATATGCATTCTATTTTTATAGAAAAATTTCATTCGCTGTGGTGGTCTCCAATTATACTTAATACCTCTATCTCTTAATATTTTAGTAATTGGCTTCAGATAATATCTCCACGATCTTTCCTCTCTTGAGATATCTTGGAAGACTTGGACCTGTTTTCCCTCAGCTTCAACACAGCATCACCATTTTCTCTAATTTTTGCCATTACTTGTAATTTATCATTAACACTTGCAAATCTCACCAAAACATTTCTTATTATTTCACATTGTCTTCTAAATCCAATTCGATATATACTTATCAAATCTGTGGTTGTAAAATTTTTATCCAATCCAAGTTCATTAAGCCATTTCAAAACACGTTGTTTAACATTGTCCACTTTTTCTTCCACTATGCCTCTTATAACAATGTTAGACTTCCTAACTTCTTCTTCCAAAATACACATTCTTCTATCCTGTTTTTCAATTTTTAAAAAAATTTCAGTTATTTGCTTATCAATTTTTTTTGTTTGCACTTGTAGTTGGTCTACATTATCTTTTATCACTGTTACTTCTGCTGTGTATTTAGCAAAATTAACATTAATTTCTTGAACAATTTGTTCCAGCTGGTTGGATCTTTCCTTCTTTTCTTCATCCATTTTTAAATGTATTTTTTGAAATTCTGTATCCATTATTTCAATTTTATCACTTAATTTGTTTAATGCCAACACAATTTGAGCTGAGTCAATACTAGCTTGAGAAATCTGTTTGACCTTAGGTCGCACCGATTCATCTTTAGATGGATCCATCTTAATAACTCCTATAATTTTTGACCAAATATTTCTATAACTTTATTCACAGTTCAAAATCAATGGGTCATCAACTTGTATTTAAGATGTTAAGTTATTGTAGAGGAAAATCTTTAATCCTCAATTCTGTACCACAGATACTCAGAAGGGTCTTTTCAGAAGGACTTGGGCATATTTTACTTTCACCTTAAGACGCCAGAGACGACAAATAAAGCATTAAAGAGTCCCAAATTTTAAAAAAGTTGAAAGTCCAAGTTATTGAAGGCTTGCTTACAATTGCTTCTTGCGCCAGAGGCAGTATAAAATACAAACAGAGAAATTCCTGTAGTCACGTTAATCAAGATCAGTTACATTCCTCAGCGCCATTTTGCCCGCTGTGAGCTTCAAACAGCAAACATGCTTTAGATTACTTTAAGACTTTTAACTTTTAGTCTACAATTTTCACAGCGTCTTCAAAAAAAAAAAGGGATAATTTTTCAAATTTTCAGATGATCCCACAAACAAACCATTTAAATATTAGGCTGTTCCAAAAAAAAGGTTCCTGTTCTCCACATTTATGTCGACTCCAACATTCAGGCAGCTCTCAGATATCTTATTTTTATCTTCTTCAAACATAGCCATAAAACTTAGTTTGCTGCCCTTCGCCCTGTCGACATCTTTTGCGGATCCAGCTCACAATTAAATTCTAATTTATTGTTTTTCAGACCTCTTTAAATCATCGTCTCGCTGTTTCATCACCCCCTCTGCTCACTTTTATCCCCCGAAGGGAAAGCACTTTAAAAGAAAACCTCAATTAAAAGCAGTTTAGGGTGACTGACCACATCAATCTTAATCCAACCAAGACAGGAACTCTTCAATAACGCACCTAGTTGTTATCGGACTTCAAAAATGCTGTGTATTTTATTTTCATCCGCTTTCAATTTTCCATATGCCGCAGAGAGACGAAGACAATGTCTTCTAAGCCACAGCCATGGACACCCCCCCCCCCCCCCGCTTCTTCAGCTCTTGACAGGATAGTGAGGAATGGAATCTTGTCAGAGCTGAAGAAGCTTCTTAGATGAGAAGCGAAACGTCTTCAAAAGAAAAAAAACCCAAGGAAGTCCAGTTGCCTTCTGAAAAAAGCACCTTTGGGACAACCATGACCTAGAGGACGGAGAACCTCTACAGACCAGTGGTGGGTTGCCCTCAGTTCACACCGGTTTGCAAGAACCGGGAGAAAAACCGGTGGGAGGCTCCGCCCACTGACCCGGACGTCATCGTAAGTGATCTGCGCATACGCAGAAGAGAGCGCGCGCACACGAGCACAATGCAAACCAGTAGTAAAGATAAGTAGGAAACCCCCCCCCCGCTACAGACATCTAGAAGGCATGTGCAACACAATACCAAGCACAATAGAACCTCTGGTCACGGACGCTTCTGACCACGACCGTATCAGGGTGTTTTGTAAGCGCCAAATTTCCTGTTGTTTGTTTACAAACAACAGCAACCCACGTGTGGCCGCTGCATTAATTTTGGTTAGGTTCGGGTGACGACCAAATCGGGTTGGGACCAAAGTTATGGAACAAATTATGGTCGTGACCAGAGGTTCTACTGTATACAAAAGAGTATATCAGAGGTGAAATCCAGCAGGTTCTGACAGGTTCTGGAGAACCGGTAGCGGAAATTTTGAGTAGTTCAGAGGCAAATACCACCTCTAGCTGGCCCCAGAATGGGGAGGGAATGGAGATATTGCAATATCCTTCCCCCGGAGTGGGGAGGGAATGGAGATTTTGCAATATCCTTCCCCCGGAGTGGGGTGGGAATGGGATTTTGCAATATCCTTCCCCCGGAGTGGGGAGGGAATGGAGATTTTGCAATATCCTTCCCCCGGAGTAGGGAGGGAATGGAGATTTTGCAATATCCTTCCCCCGGAGTAGGGAGGGAATGGAGATTTTGCAATATCCTTCCCCTGGAGTGGGGTGGGAATGGAGATTTTGCAATATCCTTCCCCCGGAGTAGGGAGGGAATGGAGATTTTGCAATATCCTTCCCCCGGAGTGGGGTGGGAATGGAGATTTTGCAATATCTTTCCCCCGGAGTGGGCAAAATATCCTTCCCCCAGAGTGGGGTGGGAATGGAGATTTTGCAATATCTTTCCCCCGGAGTGGGGAGGGAATGGAGATTTTGCAATATCCTTTTAAGTCTTGTAACCTTCAACTCCCAGAATTCCTCAGCCCTTCTGGGAGTTGAAGTCCACAAGTCTTAAAGTTGCCAAGGTTGGAGACCCCTGCTGTAAAGTATCCCAAGGCTGCAAGTTTCAATTCCACTTCAATACAAAAAGAATCAATATTTCATGTCTCTACAGTTACACCTTGGATAATGACGTCTTAACTCCAGAGCAGAGACGTTTCTATGAGGACAATGGATATCTCGTCATCAAAAATCTGGTGGCTGATGAAGATATTGAGCGCTTCAGGTAAAACAAAGACAGGTATCCTTGACCCATGTGGCTGAAATCATTCAACCCAACACCTTGAATTGCTCTAAGACAGGGCTCTCCAAACTTGGCACACCTGGACTTCAACTCCCAGAATTCCTCTGCTGGCCATGCTGTCTAGGGAATTCTGGGAGTGGAAGCCCACAAGTCCAAGAATTCTGGGAGTGTTAGCCCACAAATCCAAGAATTCTGGAAGTCCACAAATCCAAGAATTCTGGAAGTGGAAGCCCACAAATCCAAGAATTCTGGTGGTTGAAGTCCACAACTCCAAGAATTCTGGGAGTGGAAGCCCACAAATCCAAGAATTCTGGGAATGGAAGCCCACAACTCCAAGAATTCTGGGAGTGGAAGCCCACAAATCCAAGAATTCTGGGAGTGGAAGCCCACAAATCCAAGAATTCTGGAAGTGGAAGCCCACAAATCCAAGAATTCTGGTGGTTGAAGTCCACAAATCCAAGAATTCTGGGAATGGAAGCCCACAACTCCAAGAATTCTGGGAGTGGAAGCCCACAAATCCAAGAATTCTGGTGGTTGAAGTCCACAAATCCAAGAATTCTGGGAGTGGAAGCCCACAAATCCAAGAATTCTGGTGGTTGAAGTCCACAAATCCAAGAATTCTGGGAATGGAAGTCCACAAATCCAAGAATTCTGGGAGTGGAAGCCCACAAATCCACGAATTCTGGGAGTGGAAGCCCACAAGTCCAAGAATTCTGGTGGTTGAAGCCCACAACTCCAAGAATTCTGGAAATTGAAGCCCACAACTCCAAGAATTATGGGAGTTGAAGTCCACAAGTTTTAAATTTGCCAGGTTTGGCGACTCCCGCTCTAAGAAGTCAATTGGAAACCATGTCATTTGAGCAAACTAGGAATTGCTCTTAATGAACTATGTCACTGCAGTCAGAGTTTCTGTAACTCCAGAAGGTGGTTGTAACTGGATCGTCTGGAGTTGTGCAAAATTGTGCATAATTTTTGTAATTACGACAGGGAAGTTTTAATTGTTGTTTACTGTGCTTTTTTTATTATTATAATTGTGGCATGAGAACGTCCAGCGGCGTGGACAATAAATAAGCAAGCAAGGACATAAGTGTAGGTGGCAGCTTGCAATCTACACTTGGAGAACCCTTCGCTTAGATCCTGTGAATTTTCAAAAAACGGATCTCTTAGGACATACAATCATAGGACTGGGAAGGAACCTCGGAGGGCTTCTAGCCAGTGGGGAAATCTAAAAACGTTTCCTACCGGTTCTGTGGACGTGGCTTGGTTGGTTGTCTTGGTGGGGGTCATGTGACTGGGTGGGCGTGGCTATATGACTGGGGGATCATGTGACTGGGAGGATCAAAAGACAGAAACTCACTTTAACAATGTCCTGCTGGAGCAGGGGGTTGGACTAGATGACTTCCAGGTCCCTTCTAGCCCTGGATTGATTGCTGTGCTCTTTCAAGGTATCCTCTGAAGCTGCGTCTGGTGCCAGGTTTGTGGTCCTTCCTTCCTCTTCTTTTTCCCTCCCTCCCTCCCTCCCTTTTTCTTTCTTTCTTTCTTTCTTTCTTTCTTTCTTTCTTTCTTTCTTTCTTTCTTTCTTTCTTTCTTTCTTTTCTTTTCTTTCTTTCTTTCTTTCCTTCCTTCCTTCCTCTCCTCCCTCCCTCCCTCTTTCTTTCTTTCTTTCTTTCTTTCTTTCTTTCTTTCTTTCTTTCTTTCTTTCTTTCCTTTCTTTCTTTCTTTCTTTCTTTCTTTCTTTCTTTCTTTCTTTCTTTCTTTCTTTCTTTCTTTTCTTTCTTTCTTTCTTTCTTTCTTTCTTTCTTTTTTTCTTTCTTTCTTTCGCAGCACCCACCAACACCACCTGTTTTTGGCCTAGCAGACCTCAGGGAAGCCTCCTGGGAGCAAAAAAGGGACTTCCCCCAATAGGTAGTAAAAAATGCTTTAAAGAGTTAAAAAAAAAAGTTCCAAGGATCTCACGGCTGATTGTCACAGGTGATTGAACCTTTTCTTTACTTTTTAAAAGCATTTTTAAACTACCTATTGCCTGCCTGTGCTGTGCCATCATCGGAACTCCTTTTTTACTTTTACTTTTTACTACTGGTTCGGTGAACCACTCACATTTGTTACTACCGGTTCAGATCGAACCGGCCTGAACCGGTAGCATTGCACCCCTGCTTCTAGCCCAAGGCAGAAGATCTTATACCGTACTGCTCAAAAGGTTTTCCAATATGGTTTTTGAAAACTATTCCATTGATTCATTGTCAGGAAGTTTCTCCTTACTTCAAGGTTGCATCCCTCTTTCCACCCACAAAGAAGAAGGTGGACAACCTATTCTCCAAGACACCAGAAGGCAGAACAAGAAACAACGGGATGGAAACTAACCATGGAGAGATCCAATCTAGAACTAAGGAGGGATTTCCTGGCAGTGAGAACAATTAGGCAGTGGAACAACTTGTCTCTAGAAGTTGTGGGTGCTCCATCCCTGGAGGTCTTCAAGAAGAGATTGGACAGCAATTTGTCTGAAATGATATAAGTTTCCTGCCTGAGCAGGGGGTAGGACTAGAAGATCTCCGATGTCCCTTCCAACTCTTGTAATTCTGCTTCTAGTCCTATCCTCATGTGCTTTGGAGAATAAGTCAACCCCCTCTTCCTTGTGACAGCCCCTCAAATACTGGAAGACATCTGTCATGTCACCTCTAGTCCTCCTCTTTGATAGCTAGACATTGTTCTGACCTAGGCTTCCTGGGAAAGCATAAATCACAATCTTAGTCCCCAAAAAACCCTCTTTTATTGAGACAGCTGTGAATTACGGTCATTCACAGCCTGTAATGGTTCACAAATAGCCTGTGCAGATTCTGACCGATGTCTGCTCGAGTGGACACAGTCTTTCAGGGTAATGTTGATAAGCACCCACCTTTATCTCCCTTGAAACGTTGCCAGAGACCTAATTGTCCATTAGTTTTGCAAGGCCAAACGGAGCACAGAGTCAAAACGGACTTCTCAGAGCTTGAATTGACTCTATGAACTAATTGCTTCCTGCAAAGGCTCACGTCCGTTTGCTCCTCTTTTATGACTTATGGGAGGGGCCAATCATCTCTAAGCCTTACTCCTGAGTCGCCCCCCCTTTTTTTTAACCGTTCTTGCCTTCTGGCAGCTCTGCGCATGTGCATACTGGGAACAGGCTCCTCCTGTTCCTCTGCCTCTCTGCTGTCCGACTCTGGGGGCTTCGGAGTCCGCGCATCACTCCCAGATGGCCCTGGCCCCCTCTCTATCTCCGACGCAGAGCCCTCGTCCGAGCCTTCCCCAGACTCCAGGACTGGCCCATGTTCCTCCCCAGCCTCCTCACTGTCTGACTCTGCTGCCAGCTCTGCAGGCCGCCGCCGAGCCACAACAGACATACCTAGCTTCCTCGACGGTTCCTCGTACGATTTAGCCTCCAGTACTCTGGAATAATTCCTTTTTGATTCCCAATGGAAAGCCTTGCGCGGAATGAATGCAAAAGTAGATGCCCTAAGAGGAGTTCTGGATGCCAATTTAAAATGCTTTCCCCTTTTCTTTTTTAACCCTGTTTTCAGAGAGGAGTTTGTAAAGATATGCAGAAAGGAAGTGAAGGTGCTTGGAATAACTATCTTGAAAGACATCACGATTGCCAAGTCTGAAGCCAACGAGAATAAGGTTTTCAGATTGCAGGATTTCATGAATAGCGAGGAGCTCTTTCAATACTGCACCTTACCTCAGGTGAAAGCGGGACTGTTCCGAAATCCTAAAAATTTGCATAAACATCTTCCCATCTCAAAAGAACTTACCTTCTGCGCGGCCAGAATCTGAAAATGACATTTAACACAGCCGGGTACTTAAGCAAAATGCTTCGGTTGAGATCGGCATACGTGGGACTGATTGGGGTAGATTGCAATATAATTTTATCATATTTTATCTGTATCTTAAATTATTGTTATTTTATTCCAATGTCATTTTACACTGTACTTTATTCCAATTTCATTTTAAATCGTAGTTTATCCAATTCCACTTTAAATTGCTTTTATCAAATTTTTTAGTAATAATTTGTTTCTGGAACTCTGCATTTTGATATGGCCCAAGGGCTAATCAGTCAGTCAATCAATCAAATAAGCAGGTGTCGTATTAAACGCATCATCCCTTTATTGTATTTCTGGCATTGTACCGAACAAAAATATTTCTGGTTTTAGGTCTTACGTGTTGCTCTGTCATTTTTTTCCTAACCGTGTATGTATGCCCCTGCCCCACCCTTTATGTCAGGCTGCCATCCAAGCGAAGCAGGGCCAAAGCTCCATGATGGCAGATCTGACAGTTACCGCCGACTGTTTTCCGTATCGCTTTTTGGTTTTTAATCATTCCATCGTAAGGATTTGTGGCGGCTTTAAATATCTCTTTCTTTTCTGAGCTGGTTTTGTTTCCTTTAGGTCTTAAAATACGTCGAATGCTTCACGGGGCCGGACATCATGGCTATGCACACCATGCTGAACAATAAACCACCCGATACAGGTGAGACCCAGGTGAATTAACAGGTGAGAAGAAGCTCAGGGAGCACCAGGGACCCCTCCTGTCAACCCTGCGCGAGAAATAATTCTCCTTTGTTGCTAGCGTTACTCCCTCTTTCTGAGTCCAAGGAATTTCTCCTCCTTTCCAGGCAAGAAAACCTCTCGTCATCCTTTGCATCAGGATCTTTATTACTTCCCCTTCCGGCCTGCCGACCGAGTTGTTTGTGCCTGGACCGCAATGCAAAAGGTGGACCGGACAAACGGATGTCTGGTTGTGTTGCCAGGGACTCACAAGGGCTGCCTGAAGGAGCACAAATACCCGGATTGGGAGGTAAACGACGGAGAGGGAGAGGCATGATTGGCATCAAAAAGCTAGGGTACGGGTAGTCCTCGACTTGCGACCAATGAAATCACTTAGCGACCGACCTGAAAAAGAGGAACTTGCAACCCGGATTCAAAGTTCTGACGGTCACCCCACCCCCTGCCATCATGTGACTGCACTCCAGATGCTTGGCCACAGGGCCACATTTACAGTCACACGATCATGTTTTATGACGGTTTTGCCAGAAAGCAAATTCCAGGTTTTGGGCAAAACTGCGCTCAGAGGGAATAGTGGCTTTGCACTTACGACCGGGGTGTTTGCTTAATGACCACTGCAAACAATGTCAGTTGAATGACCCGTCTTATGACCATCATGGGCAGGCTTCATTACCGTTGTAACTCAAGGACTAACGCAGGCAGTCCTCGATGTACGACCACAATTGAGCCCAAAAATGCCAGGAGGAAAGCATATCAGATAGGGAGCGAGGATGATGAATCCTGGCTTGATCCCAGACAGCGCCGGAGGGAGAAGCGTGCGCAGCAACGAAAGAGGCGTGGGAGGGCCCGAGGTTGAGCTGAGTCACTGAGCCACACCCCACAAGGAATAAAAGTGGGTGGGATTGCTCTTCAGGCTTTGTGACGGTCAAAGTTAAAAACCTGAGAGTCACATCGTGTTACCTGAAATCTGGCTTGTGCATATTTGGATTGGACCTTGGCGAACTCCTGCTTCGTGCATTACTTTTTGCTTCTGAACCAGACTAAGGATAAACTCTCTCTTGCTGACTGTGAGTGAAAACTGGCTTGGCAGGCATTTCACAGTTTACTGCCAAAACTCTTATCTGCAAGGGTTTCTAGTCTGATTGCTTAATAAAAACTTGGCAGGCGTGCCTGGTTGTGTGTTTGCCTGTGTGGGGACGGGGGACAGAACAGGAAGACTGAGTCAAGACATGGTGTCTGGAGGTCCTTCCTCCAGTAGGATTTCAGAGCTGCCAATGTTGGAAGGGACCCTGGAGGTCATCTAGTGCAACCCCCTGTTCAGGATGGAGACTTGTACTAAGGATTTGAACTGCCGAACTGCCGACATTTCTGATTGACAATGTGGAGGTGGCTCTCAGGTTACACAACCAGGAAAAAAGATTTGCCAAAGATGTTGAGTGTCTTACCTTGTATCAGGGATAAACAATCCATCCGGCCATTGTTGGAAGGAGAATCCTGGTCAATGGATGGATATCTAAAATTTGGTCTCTGAGGGGTCCTCGGTGCTCCCTGGGTGTCTTCTCGCAGATGTTTCATGACCCAAATTAGGTAACATCATCAGTGCTAGTGATGAAACTGCAAGAAAACAGTGCAAGCTTCTAGCACTGATAATGTTACCTAGTTGGGTCATGAAACGTCTGCAAGAAAACCACCAAGCTCAGAGAGCACCAAGGAGTCCCTGAGTTACAAAGATTCTCCTTCATTTGGCCTGTTTGCGTCTCTCGGGAAGCTTAGAAGGTCAGTTCTACCTTGTTTTTTTTCCCCAGGGTGGTGTGAACAAGCTGTACCATGGGATCCATGACTACGACAAGAGTCTTCCCAGAGTCTACCTCCCCATGGAGAAAGGAGACATCGTCTTCTTCCACCCCTTGATCATTCATGGCTCCGGAAGAAACAGGACGGAAGGATTTCGGAAGGTAATCCAGACACCCATAATTCTGGGTGTCTGAAGATCCCCCGAGACCTCACCTGCGGGGTTCAAAGCAAGGACTTTCTGTGTCTTACCTGAACATTTATTTGGGCCTCTTTCTTAATGGTTTTGGTTAATAAGGCTTGGAACGTGGCCAATTTGCATTTAATCGTGAAAATAAAAAATGGTGTAACTTCTCTCTGTCTCTTTCCTTCCCTCCCCCCCTCTCCCACTCCTCCCTCTCTCTTCCTCCCTCCCTTTCTCTCTCTCCTTCTCTCTCCATCCTTCTCCCTCTCTCCCTCTCTCCTCCTTTCTCTCTCCCTCTCTTGCTTCCTTCCTCCCTCCCTCCCCTCCTCCTCTCCCATTCCCTTCTCTCTCCCTCTCCTCCTTCTCCCCCTCTCTCCCTCCTTCTCCCTCTCCCCTCCTTCCCACTCCCTCCCTCTTTCTTGCTCTCCCTCCCTCTCTCCCTCTTTCCCGCCTTCTCCCTCTTTCCTTCTTCCTCTCCCTCTATCTCCCTCCCTCTCCTCCTCTCCCTCCCTCCCTCCCCTCCTCCTCTCCCACTCCCTTCTCTCTCCTTCTCCTCTTTCTCCCCCTCTCTCTCCCTCCTTCTCCCTCTCTCCTCCTTCCCACTCCCTCCCTTTCTCCCTCCCTCTTTCTCGCTCTCCCTCCCTCTCTCTCCCTCTCTTTTAATACAGGCTATTTCTTGCCATTATGCCAGTAGTGACTGCTACTATATTGACGTCAAAGGGACTATCCAGGAAACTATAGAGAAGGAAGTGGAAGAGTTTGCAAGGCGGAAGTTTAATGTTGGTTCATCAGTGGATTTGAAAGTAAGTATTTTCTTTCCTTTTTTTTTCTTTTTTGTTAAAAAACAACAACACCATGTTCAAAAGCGTTCGGCGCTCTGCTTCTCTTATAAAGCATTAAATCCTTCTCCCTAATGAAGAAGTATGTAAAAAAAACACCATTTCTGCAGAATTTATATCAGAATATCTTTGGATGCTGCGCTTGTCTGCTTATCAGTATTTCTTCTCTGAGATTGGATGAGGCTAAGATTCTCCATGAGACTGGAATAAATAGTGAATTTATTTATTTATTTATTTTATAAAATTTGTATGCCGCCCTATCTCCGAGGACTCAGGGTGGCTGACAACGACAATCGACCAAGCGACTGTTAAAACCAACAAATATACATATTCGTTTGGAGGCTAGTAGTTCAGGCAGTCCTCAATTTATGACCACAGTCGGGACTAGGATTTCCATTGCTAAATGAGGAAGTCGTTAAGTGTGCCCGATTTTATGACCCTTCTGGCCACAGCTGATAAGCAGATCACTTGCCGTTGTTAAGTGAATCTTGGCAGAAGGTCGCAAAAGGGGATCACGTCACACACACACACACACACACACTCATCATAAATCCAAGTCAGTTGCCAAGCTGTCTGAGTTTTGATCACGTAAGCACGGGGAGGCTTACAACGGTCGTAAGTGTGAAAAAAAACCCGATCCTAAGTCGTTTTTTTTCACGCCATTGTCACTTCCAAGGTCACTAAATGAACTGTCATAAGTGGAGGACTACCTGTGTTGTGTTCCGAACGTGGAAAAATCTTTTTAAATGGACGTTCAAGGCATTAACTAAACTCAACCTCTTTATGTCTTCCCGTGTGAATCAGGATAAATCTCATTATTTCTGTTTTGTTTCTCAGGACGCTGCTATAATACGGTGTCGACTGGTTAAAGGGGAGAAAAAAAATCTTTAAAACTCTCATTCTCCAATCAGCGAAGAAGCCTCGGAAAATTCAGCATTTATTTTTTCTTACTTTTTGGGGGAAGGGCTATGCGGTTAGTAATAATCTCGATAGGACTTTGAAGCGCTATCTGCATCTGGAACTCAATTCAAGGCTGCAATTCTAGGCACATAAATTGTGAATTACAATGACTACGGTGAAATTTCTTTCTGAGTAAAAAAATAAATGGTTAGAATTTAAGCTGCAATTCTATACAAATTTTACTTAGAGTCTAAGAATTTTAAACTGCTGTCCTAGTCTTTTTCTTTTGAAAATATTTTTTATTTTAAAACAAAAACAAAATATAAAACCATCATCATTCCCAACAATTACAGACAGTATGTCGAACGATTAATATTCTCTTGTGCATAATTCAATTTCTAAAATACCAATTTATAACAGGAACTTATATCTCTTATAAAAAAAACTTCACACATTTTATCTTTACATCAACACCATATTTCATCTTCAACTCCATGATTTATTATCTATCTATTGATAAAACAAATCCCATATCAAATAGTATTGTTTATCTTCCTGTTCTCTAATTTCAAATGTCAATTTACTCATTTCAGCACGTTCCATAATTTTCTTAATAACCTCATCATCTGTAGGTAACTTCTCTCCTTTCCAGTTTTTAGCAAATACAATTCTAGCCGCTGTTAAAACATTCACAATTAAATATTGCAATTCTCTATTGTATGTTTCCTGTAAAATCCCTAATAAAAATATCTCTGGTTTAACGTCAATGTGTTTCTTTATCATTTTTTCCACCCACAGGTGTATCTTAGTCCAATATCTCTTGGTTTCTACGCATGTCCACCACATATGGTAATATGATCCTGGAGTCTGATGACACTTCCAACATTTCTCAAGACCACAATTTCTTTCTCCTTATACTTTACTTATACTATACTTTAGTTTTCTCTCTAGCTATCTGACGTATCTGTGCTTTAATTGATTTCTTAGTAAATCTTATGTGTACTTCTTGTGGTAACTTGTTATGCATTGCGTATCTGGTATACACTCAATATATCTCGTCCACATTATCCATCATCTTCTCCTTAGTAATTTCTAGTGCTTCAGCTAATATTCCTATCATAATTCCTGCCAAGTTCTCACCCTTTTCTTCTTCCACATTTTGAAATCTGAGATAAAATTCTGATCTGTCCATCTCCCATTCAATCAGTCCACTCCTGTCTCATTCAACTTCTCCCAATCTATTATCCATGTCTTTGATTTTTTCCTCCTTTTGCTCTTCCTTTTTCTCAAGCTTTTGCTCTTCATATTTCAGCATCCCTTGCTGAATGCTTGCCACTTTTTCATCTGTTTTATGTAGTTGTTCATCTGTCTAAAGTAGTTGTTGTTCCATCCTTTGGACTGTTTGAAGAATCATCTGCATCGTCATGTCTTTCTCCTTTTCTTTCTCTTTCTCCTGCTGAAGCATGGTCTGAATTGATCGCTGTCCTCCAGATGGTGATGAAGAAGGCGTGGTAGAAGAAGATCCCACTGTTGCTACTTTTCTACTCATTCTGTCCAGTAGTCAGCAAAGACCAAGGCTGGGCCAAAGAAATGACAGAAAAAGAAAAATTGAACAGTTGTTCAGGTTGTTCGAAACCCTAATCCACTTTAACAAGCAAAAAAATAAAAAAGTAAAAAAAATTAAAAGGAAGAAAGGAGAAGAATAAAAAAAAGAAAAGCCAAAAAATCAAAAATCAATCTTCAAGCTCTTGGGCGCCTTAATCCAATTCAATTATGTAGAATTAACAAAAGAAAAAGAAAGTCAATTGAACATATTTATGCAGAAAAAGCATAGAGTTATCACTTAACGAAGGCTGGAAAGAATAATAAAAATCAAAAGAGGTTCCAGTTTCTTTTACAATGTTTCTGGACTCCTACTTCTTATAGATCCACAAGGAGCACCTGCGTAAACAATACAGATAGTTCCAACTTCCTCAGATGCTCTCACAACAATCTTATTAACCAAAAGGTTCAGAGTCCTTGGGTTAAAATAACAATGTAATTCTCAGCTTGTTACTTATATCAAGACAAATTAAAAAGTTTCTTTTCCAGCAGATGGCAGTATTACACACTCTCATGTCTTTTCTGCAGTTTGTAATCCAAAACTTCCTTGTCAGTAAAATAATAATTTTAAAGTTTAAACATTATTCCAAAAAAATAAAAAAAGAAGAAAAAATTCAGTCTCAAAGAAAAATTATTTTAGAAAGAAAAGGCACAAAGGCTTACCAATTTTAGCCTCTTAATTTATCAATCTCTTTTAATCCAGTTCCGGTCCATAGTAAAACAGAGTTTTAAAGTCTGCCAAATTAAATAGTTTGGGTTAAAAAAAAAAGTCCCAATGTCAGCACTTCAAGCTGCATTTACTCTAGTGCTGACATAAGAAGGAGAAGCGGAGGAGTCTGGAAAGGGACGTTTGACTTTTCACCTACTTAATTTCCCTGGAGATACTATCCCCTAGGAGATGGGTTGGGAGGGGGGAAATTCCTTTGAGCTGAAGTAGTAGATAACAGCAGAGTGACTTGGAAGATGGCCAATGAGTGCAGAGGAGTGGGGAAAGGAAAAGGAGGGTTTTGGGTCAGGAAGTCAGTGTTGGCTACGATGGAGTCGGAGTTAGAATATCATGCTTAATAAATGGAAGTTTTTCATCAAAGACTTTATTTGAAATGCAATTTATTTGAGACGACCTCGAAACCTGCCACCCAGGTTTCGAGGTGCTTAGATTCGCCGCTTAATTTCTTTAGTCTTCAATTCTCTTATCATTTCACATCAGGGTGTGCTTTATATTAGTTAAAATGAAGCTCTCTCACCGCATTGGCTCACTGCCCTTCTATTTCTCTTCCGGAGCTGTCACAACTTCAGCAACCACAATGGCTGCCACCCCGCTGTGAGAAAAAGGGCTTCTACTGGATCAACCAGGGACTTTGCAATATCCCTGGGATCGTCAGGATGTGCCCTCCACTATCACAGTCAAAACAAGACTGAGGTCCGAAAAGGACTGTCCAGCAGTGGGACTATCAGTGGCGATCCTCGAGCACCACTCCGACCATTCCGTAGCGACGTCAGCTTCCTCAAACTGCTGTCCTAGTCTTGTTTAACAAATAAGAAACCTTATCAAGCTGAGCTCAGATGGACTTTTAACTATACATGCATAGAATTATATATTTAATTTAACAATTGTAACTGATGTATTTAAATAATTTAAGTAAATTAAATTGCCTCATTTCTCAGAGCTAGATTGATTTTAGATTTTTCTTCGAAGGAAAATCTTTTATTTTAATGGCAAGCATTTCTTCTCATAGTTTTTTCACCAGAGTGCAGAGTTTTAGATAGTTAACCCGGTTTTTCCAGTTTTCAAAAGTTGGAAGGAGCTGAGAAGAATATCATGGACTGGAAAAGGTAGAAGAAGAATCAAGCAATGATTGAAAGCAGATTTCCAGTTTCTGCATGTGAGCTTTTTCTTACATTAGAAGACGACATGAAAAATGGATTTGTTTTTTCCTCTCTTTTTTTTCTTGTTCCTCTTCAGTTAAAGTTTCTGAAATATTTCTTCCAAAGGACACTTTGAAGAGGAGGAGCAAGGAAAATCTCGTCCTAAGCAATGAAGAGATATAATTGTGATGCCAAAATAAAACAATAAAGGACAAATATGGTTTTCCTGTTTTGAATAATCTTACTTTTCTTACAAGAAATAAGCAAAAGGTATCATTGAGTGAAATGAATTGGATAGCCACCGGATTTCAAACCAAATCAAACCTTTATGGTCAATGCACAACATGTGTACAATGAAATTGAATTTTGAACATCTTTCGAAGTTAAGCTAACCAGGGTGAGGGGTAGATTTTGACATCATATCGTCACCGCTACCGGCTCGGCCGAACCGGATCAAACGGGAGGAACCCACCACTGCTTTAAATCCCTTTTAGTGAGTGCAGAACATCGAGTGTTCCTCTCTGAGAAACCCCAGGGACATTTTGTCACAGCAGCACAGAAAGAACAAAGGTATATATAAACCAGAAACTCACCATTCCCTCCCTCTAATCATTCTGTAGTCAGGAACACAGTGGCTCCTTGTTTTCCGTGCTATCTCCGAATTCCATCACTGGTCAACCGGGGACAGGGGATTGTTGAAGCGTCACCGTCATTTTAACTCACCTGTGAGCCGAAAATCTCTTTTTTCTAACCTTATTTCTTCTTGAGACACTTCTCCCTTGATGTTCTGTCCTAGGCTTCCCAAGAACATGAAGCCGACGCCTCATCCCGATAAAACCTCTTTTATTTAGGATAAAGGGAAATTCCTCTCCAGCAAAATCCCGGCAAACCGTCTTTCGTGAGATTTCACAACTACAGACCTTTATCAGGCTTGGAGAGCCGCCAGGCCGATATCTTCCAAACGCCACGCTGGAGCAGCAGCAATTACTTGGCCAGAAGTCAGGAACAGATCTTCACCCTAATGAATTGAACTAATTGTCTCCTGCAAACTCCACTCCCCCTTCGCTCCTCTTTTATTCCCCCTGGGAGGGGCCATTCATCGTCCACCTGTGGCTTTACTCCTGAGTCAACCCTTGTTCCTTAGCTGTTCCCTTCTCCTGGCAGCTCTGCGCATGCGCACACTGGGAACAGGCTCCAGCTGTTCGTCTGCCTCACTGATGTCCAACTCCGAAGGCAGCTGATAACTGGCAGACGGCCCTGGCTCCCTCTCTGCCACCGACGCAGAGCACTCGTCAGAGCCCCAGATTCCAGGACTGGCCCATGTTCCTCCCCAACCTCCTCACTGTCTGAGTCTGTCGCCAGCTCTGCTGGCAGGCCACAACAATTGCTCCCATCTGGAATGGGAGGATGGTTATCCTCAACCGACGAGCACAATGGAACCCCAAATTTCTGTTCTTCAGCGAGAGGTTTGTTAAGTGAGTTTTGACCCCCATTTTACCAACTTTCTTGCTACGGCTGTTAAGTGACTTACCGCAGACATTAAGACAGGCACACAGTTATTAAGTGAATCTGGTTTGCCCCCTTCTGACTTTGCTTGTGAGAAGGTTGCCAAAGGGGATCCCCGGGGCACCATGACGGTCATCTATAAGAACCAGTCGCCAAAAATCTGAATTTGGATCGCATAACCTTGGGGATGTTGCGAAGGTCGTAACTGTGAGAAACGGTCATAAGTCGCTTCTTTCACTCCTGTTGTAACTTTGCACAGTCACTAAGCGAACTGTCGTAAGTCAAGGACGAAAGTCAAAATTGCAGCAGTCTCTATTCAAACGAAGCCCTGTTTTCTTTTATCGTGTTGACTTTTTTGACCATCCTTGGATAGGGGTCTGGAAAAGAATACAGCATGGACATCAAAGCAGCTGTTCTGTATATTTTATGCGCTGAATACAGAGGTGGAATGCTCCCGGTTCGGACTGGATCGCCCGATCCGGTAGCGATGACGGCAGGTGGTTCGGAGAACCGGTAGCAAAAATCCCTGCGCCCCCCATCCCCCCATGCCCAGCTGAGCCACGCGATCATCAGAGGCTGTTTTTTTTAACTTTTAAAAGCATTTTTTCTACAACCTCTTCGGCCAAAAAAATGCTTTTAAAAGTAAAAAAAAAAAAAAGCCTCTGATGATTGCACGGCTCAGCTGGGATCGTCAGAGGCTTTTCAAAGCATTTTTTTCTGCAACCCCTTCAGCCGAAGAGGTTGTAGGAAAAAAAAATGCCTTTAAAAGCCTCTGGCGATCCCAGCTGACTTG